TAGTATTACTTTTTTTGTCGGTTACTCACATACTGGTTGGTGGTTTTAACCATCTTGAAAAATATGAAAGTCAATATATGGGAAGGATGATATCCCATATATGAAATGGAACATAAAAAATCTTTGAAACCACCAGCCAGCATACTATATTTAACATCAACGACATGATAAAAAATGATGTGGGATCCACGATACAAATAAGGCCATCCTGCATTGTCATCACCACAGATTGGGGATGGTTAAATCTCAAGTGACTGGATGTTTAGATTTCCCAACAAAAATGGCTGAAATATTTTTTCGCAATTCAAGATTTTGGATGATTCTCCTCCAACCTTAGTGATTTCTTAACCAACTTTCTCATCTTAAAAGTTGGTTTTTGATGTGAAATTCAAGTGATTCTCAATGAAATTAGGCGATGTTTATCAATTTTTCATTTCTAACGGAAATTCACAAACATTTCTCCCTGCAAAATTCACAACCATCCACACCTCCCGTCCCCACCTTCTCCACAATCAGCGGCAACGCGCTGTACTCGGCCCTAGGCTCCATCTCAGGACCCTCGAAAAGGACCACCGCGCCGTAGTCAAAACCTCCAGGCTGATCATTGACCAATATAACCATAGACATACCCTCTGGTAAACTAACATAACTATAGAAAATCACCTTTTTTTAAGTGAGTAAATCAACTCTGAATGGCAATTTTCAATAGCTAAGTTTGTTTAGCAGAGGGTACATAGATATCCATAGATATCCATAGATCTCCTGCAATTTTCAGTTGACATTTTAGGTGGCTACCTGGTAGTGCATAGAAAAGAATGCCAAAAAATGACGAACTTTCAATTGTAAATATCCTTTTAAAATTAGTGATACCATGCAATTGGGACATATCAATGGTAAATATAACCACCAAAATATCCCATTCTTAGTGCCATGACATTAGGACATATCAATGGTAAATAGTATACCAAATATCACTGCTACATATCCCCTTTGAGATAGTTTAAATATGTTTTAATGCCAGTGAATATCCTCATATTCCGTATTTTAGTAAATATGAGCAGTAGAATGCAGTACAGTAGATAATATGTCCATTTATTGCACCACTTGTTGCAACCCATTGGCTAGTGCTCAAGTGCCATCTGTTTGGAGTGAAAGGCTACTGCACCTACCGTGGATGATTGCGAAATCCTGCACCAAAAGGATGCTTGAAACCCCACAAATAATGGGATAAATCCAGGATAAACATGGATAAACCATCTATCAACTGGCGCAGGATTTCGCAACCATCCACAGTATGTTTCAACCAAGGGGTAAACTACAGGGTCAGGAATTTGACACCCACAATGGGCATTTCGAGAATCAAAATTAGACTAAACTAGGGCCCCACTCTCGGGCCCGATTTTCAGGCAACTGTCCCATACCCAAATGGCAAGAAAATTATAGCTGGTTGGTGGTTCCCATCCCACTCAATTTTATTCAACAAAATACAAGGTGGTGGGCACAAATCAACCCAGGTAGGAATACCCATATTCCCTATGTTGCTAGTATATTGGCTCTAGCCCAATTCTTCTTGGTATCCGAGATCAAATCTATTCACCAGTCTAGAGCTCTGCAGTGGTGTATATTCACCAAAAACATGGCTGGTCCCATGTCAAAAATATGAGTGGTTGGTGGTTTTAACCATCTTGAAAAATATGAAAGTCAATGGGAAGGATTATCCCATATATTATGTATTATGGAAAATAAACAATGTTTGAAACCACCAAGCAGTATGAAAAGCCCTCGGGGGGTGCAAAATTCTGCCAGGGATCTGGTCGGACACTTTCCGAAGTCCTCACAGTCGCACTTCTCTTGCACCGCACGAAGGGCATGAAGCCAACTGGCTTCGGGGTCCTAGCCACCACTAGCAGTGGTTGTTTTAGGCCCATTGGGGAACTTTATAAGCTGATAAGTCCAGCAATCAAGTTGATGATTGATTTGTGAATTTGCTTGAGTTGGAAAGGCCGATTGAAGTTCTACACCAATCATATTATAATATATACCCTCTGGTTGTGACTAACATAGCCATGGAAAGATCCCCTATATTCTTCAAAAGCGTGAGGATGTATGCCATCCCCAACCCCTGCCTCCATGGGTGGCCAGAAGTAACGGATGCCAACCAAGCGCTCCAGTTCAAGAACACATTGGATCTTGCCATCCACACCTTGGCACTGATACTGCTTGGTGGTTTTTTGCCATCCCTCTGAAAAATGATGGAGTGAAAGTCAGTTGGGACAATGACATTCCCAATATATGGAATATCAAAAATGTTCCAAACATTTCCAAACCACCAACCAGGATATGTTTGTCTGTATGAGTTGTGTAAATGTATGGAACCACGGCTTGGTTGACCCAACTGCCCAGCCAACCTCCTTTGACATCCTGTCACTCTCCGGAACCCAATGCAACACTTGGCGCTGTACCCGCGAAATTGGTCGGTCGCTGGCATAGATACATTCTTATAGCATCTATATATTATCATCTCTTATATCATCTTATATCTTCATATGGTCTCCCCATCCGATTTTGTAGGTTCATTGCTGCCGATCTTTGAGCCATAGCATGCCATAGCCATACATCATTCTCCTCCAGACCAGGATTGCGGCAACCGGGTGGCTAATCGTAATGCTGGCATCATGTGCTGCATACAGAACGATGGCTGTGCCTTTCCGGGGCCTGCGCGGAGGAAAAAAGGATGAAATATGATGACATGAGAAAAATTACATGGGATTCATCTCACCATTGATATAGAGATATATAGAGTTCCCCCCATCGATGAATTGATGACCATCCCGAAATATGGCCATGTAAATATATAAAATGACCTTCTGACCATGCCACATAATCGCCTGCAGTCATGACATATCACTGAAAAAACGCAATACAGTCCTTTCACAAAGACGTATCTTTCTTGCAGGTTCAGCCTCCATAACTTGTTTGGCCGAAATGTCATTTCAACACCTGAAACATCGCCATTTCCAAAAATGAAGCTCATCTCTGATGCCAGGAATTTCCAGGTTAATTAGGTCTTCATACCTCCCAATCAACAGCTGGAAACCAGCTAAAAAAACCTGTTTTCTTCGGTGAAAAAATCTATTTATGCTTGGAATCCCAGCATTTTTCAGCCAGGTCTGCCAGGTCCGAGTGACAACTCGGCTCCCGTCTCCGTCTTCGTGGCATCAAAGGCCAGCCCTTTCTGGAGCAGCTGGCGAGCTCTTTGTCCCGCCTGAGCACGGAGAATGGGAACAGATGGAAACAGATGGGAACAGATGGGAACAGTCAACTTTTGCCGGAATTCATCAAGAAATATGAGATGAACTGACACTGCTAGATCTGCTAGTGGTGATTTCGGAAATTCGAACATGGGAATTCACTTCAAAGAAATCGGTCTTCCAAATGCTAGATGGATAACATGTGAACTGCGGTGCACATCTACTAGGGTGTGCAGTGTGACCCCTATCTGAGGCAGAACATGCTTAAAGATTGCTGTTCTCAGTATATCATATCGCTGGGCAAATTAAATATAATTATTGAAATCATCCATTCTTGGGATAGCTACGGATAGCTGCCCTGCGAACGATCACTGAGGATGATATTGCGGGTGAGGTTGTTGTATTTTGCCACTCTTATATAAAATTTATTAAAATTTGCATTTACGTATAAAACACATTAAAACACATGGTAAAGTTATTAGCCCGACATTAAATCACAATGTTTAAACGTCTGTAAAACATCATCACACTCACCCAAAAGGACAAAAAAAACAAGATTGGGTCATTGGGTCATAGGTTGCACCAGTGCTATCCGCTTGATCTGCACCATTTTCCACTAGAAACCGCACAATGTCAAGGTGGCCCTGCTGAGCCGCAACATGCAATGGCGTTGCACAATTGTTAGTGGCTAGATCTTTGGCTGCACCGCATTCCACTAGACACCACGCCAAGGTGGCCATTGTGAGCTGCAGCATGCAACGGCGTTGCACCCTTGCGCGAGATCTTGCCTGCACCATTTTCCACTAGAAACCGCACGATGTCAAGGTAACCCCTGTGAGCTGCAGCATGCAACGGCGTTGCACCATTGTTAGCGGCTAGATCTTTGCCTGCACCACATTCCACTAGAAACCGCACAATGTCAAGGTGGCCCTGCTGAGCCGCAACATGCAACGGCGTTGCACCATTGTTAGTGGCTAGATCTTTGGCTGCACCATTTTCCACTAGAAACCGCACAATGTCAAGGTGGCCATTGTGAGCTGCAGTATGCAACGGCGCTGCACCACTGGTAGTGGCTTGATCTTTGGCTGCGCCATTCTCCACCAGAAACCGCACAATGTCAAGGTGACTCTTGTGAGCTGCAGCATGCAACGGGGTTGCACCATTGTTAGCGGCTAGATCTTTGCCTGCACCACATTCCACTAGAAACCGCACAATGTCAAGGTGGCCCTGCTGAGCCGCAACAAACAACGGCGTTGCACCATTGTTAGTGGCTAGATCTTTGGCTGCACCATTTACCACTAGAAACCGCACAATGTCAAGGTGACTCTTGTGAGCTGCAGCATGCAACGGCGTTGCACCATTTTTAGCGGCTAGATCTTTGCCTGCACCATTTTCCACTAGAAATCGCACAATGTCGAGGCAACCATTTTTCGCTGCAACCGCCAAGGGTGTCCCACCATAGTTTTCTGCCTTATCTTTGGTTGCATTAACTTCTGCCAGAAACCGTACGGCGGCAAGGTGGCCATTCTGAGCTGCAGTGAACATTGGTGTCTGCCCGCGGGCAAACTCAGGCTCATCTGTCTTTGCTCCTGCCTCCAGTAAGAGTTCCATAACTTGAACATGCCCCTGCTCCGCAGCGTGAAACAAGGGTGTCTTACCATCATTGTTTGCCTCATTGGGATTTCGCGGCTGTTGCAGCAACTGTTCAAGAGCAACTAGATTGTTGTCTCTAGATGCCGAAATAATCATCTGTGTTTCTTCATCATCAGGTGGCCAGAATTCCAAGACCACCAGCTGGATCTTAGGTGGAGGCGTAGCTAAAACTTCATCATCCTGGATCTCATGCGAACCATCTTCAGCAAAAAATCTTTGCTTGAATCTGGAAATGCCTACCTTAGCTGCCAAGGCTTTTTTAGCGGCCTTTACGGTTTGGCTTTGCAATTCATCGTCAAGGACTGTGAGAGTCTCGCCCGATGTTAGGAAACACACCTCCATCGCTGCAAGACCCAAGGTGAAGTGCAGAACGAAACAATTGTGTGCATGTTATATACATATTATACATGCATATCAACAAAACAAAAAAACAACTATCCATAGACACACGCATATGTCATATTTATATTGCACATGTTTGCATAATATAATTATCATAACCAGAACTGAAAACAACAACAACAACAACCACAACCACAACCACAACCACAACGACAACGACAACGACAACAACAACAACACTAACAACACGGACACGAACACGAACACGAACACGAACACGAACACGCACAAACAATGTTACATTAAATCCACACCAAACGTTTACAAGAAGCATCAATATGCTACACTGGTCCTGTCTGGACAGTCTTCAACGGCAGCATGACGCAGCATGATGCAGGTTGGGTATGGCAAGGTGTTTTTCCTAGCAACCCCTCAAGGATTTAAACATATCGCAAATTTACCCTCCAGTAAATTAACATAGACCCTGCCAGATAGGATTTGGAAGATTAGTTTCCACTAAAAATTGGTGATTTTCAGGGGCCAGGGTCTATGTTAATTTACCAGAGGGCCAGAGGGTATCACTATTTAATATATTTTTGGGCAACGCCCTCTAACTATAGACATATCGAGTTATATCTTACTATATCCACTAGAATGTTAGATGCTGATTAGTAGCTGGGTGCACAAATTGTGGCCGCAAACTTTTCCTGCTGCTCAACTATATAAATGTCTGCAAGACTGTCCCAATCCCAAACAAATACCATCTGGTTATTTAACATAGCCATGGAAAATCACCATTTTTAATAGGTAAACCATCTATAAATGGGACATTTTCCATGGCTATGTTAAATAACAGGAGGGTATATTGATTTATGTTTGTGGATCTTTGGGTCTACACCGGATGGATGGTCCAAACACCTACACCGGATACCCAAGATATCCCAAGATCGGGTGAATATCTGTGAAAAACCGCATGGTATGTCAGATGGTTATTGGCAACATCAGTAAACCCCACGGCTTTCAGATGGGTTGCTTATATCATGTTATACATTCCTATCAAAGGCACTCGTGTTCCAACCAACCTGTTTGGGTTTGGATCAAAATTGAGGATTGTTTAACACTAAAGTTGTCAAACAATCTGTGGGTGACGGTACCTGATAGGGCAATGGATCAGTCAGCTTGGTACCTGGTTTCGACATCAGCTGGTAATTGAACTGGATGTTCATGCGAAATCGCATCCAGTGTAGGACCCATGACAAAAACATCAGATTCAAGGCAATTCACCCCACCTTTGTAGGTTTTGGTCTCCATTGGTCGTCCACCCTTTTGGTCAGCTTCGATAGGCACCTTGCGCTGTCTCCGCAGGAGCGCATCCGCCAAAGTGCTGCGATAGATGCCGGTGGCGTTCGCCAATTGGACGGCCTAATCTGGACGCGAAAGGTGAATTTAAGCCCAATAAAAACATGTGGACTTCCCAGAAAAAAACCAGGGAGGGCCAACTAACTTGGATGGGAAATTCAAACAGAGGTGAAGTAGCCAACATCCAATCACAGGACAGGAATATTCACTGTGAATCCCCAACCAGGGCTCTAGGGTCAGATGCTGCCCCTGGGTATTCCTCAAATTCGAAAAAAAAACTAAACTTCACCATTGGTTTCCACTGCAAAATGACCAAAATCTTGGATATTGATTTTGGGTCCCCCGTGAGGAAACCCGCCGGCTACATGGCCTAGATACTATACCCGGCTATACGCAAGGCTGCGTGTATATCAACATTCCTAGGAGAAGAAGCTACTAAAGTGCCCTTACAAAGTTTCCCGGTTTCCCCACTCAACTCCCATTTGGGCTAGCTAAATCGCTCAATCAGCAATACTCTTGATTATGTAATCATATAATGTTATATAGATAAACTGTAGTAATAATATAATATATATATAAGTATATCATCTCCCATTCAAATCATACCCCCATCATCTCCCATCATTCACGGTACAGACGGTCCAGCCGACCTTGGGGTATTCCAACTGCAAAGGCGGCCATCGGGTGTGTGCCCATCCAGCCGCCAACATGGCCACGGTACTACGAGGAGAAACTGATGATGAATCATCAAACTTGGGGGTAAACATGGGTAAACCATGCTAAACCTATTTTCAGACAACCTCACTTCAATCTTCCTCGAGTTTTTGTTAGGCAAAGGAGGTCATTGTTCTTGGACATGGCATGTGATCAGTAAAGCTTGAGCTCCGACATGAAGCTGGTGATGCTCGCCACCTGGTAACCAAAAAGGGATCCTGTGATACGCACAACTTGGCCAGCTGTGTCTGAAAAAATGGAAAAAAGTTCAGTTGTTCAATCAAGATTGCTGTACCTTCGTCTGAAAATTCCTTTTGTGAATGATGATTAATCACCATTTTCCCCACTAAACTTATCCATTTAAGACACGCTGTTTGTGCCAACACCACCTGCTTGGGTAACTCCACTAAAATAAACACACGATTCTCTTCGGAGCTGTTAACCCTGAGAGTCCATCGGGGATGTAGAAAAAAACCCATGTTCAGACCCACACCTTCTTGACATAGTGGATCTCCACCCTTTTCTGTATGGCACCGTGAATTTCATGGGGGCCGAAGTGATATAGAAATTTAAAACCATCAACCGGCCAGCACTGATAAGACAATGATAAGATCCACGACATTTTGTCCAAGAAATATGTAGAGCACTGTATATTACAATATATGTGTATGTATATATATATATACACAATTCATGGATTCAAATAGATAATCCAAGATATATGTACATGCAAACTATCATATTGTTGGCTGTATATCCCCATGATATTCCCATGACACACCCAGTACACCTCTATTTTATGTTGCATAAATCACACATGTATATATAATATATAATATATAATATATAATATAAATATAATATAATATATATATAACATAATATATATATATATTATATAATATATATATAACATAATATATATATATATTATATATAATATATATAATATATATAATATATATAATATATATAATATATATAATATATATAATATATATAATATAATATATATATTATATAATATATAATATATATAATATAATATATAAGATTCATAATATATATAATATACAGAATATATATGATATATATAATATATAATATATATAATATATATAATATAATATATATATTATATAATATATATATATAATATATATATAATATAATATAATATATATATATATATATATATAATATATATAATATATAAGATTCATAATATATATAATATACAGAATATATATGATATATATATATAATATATAATATATATAATATATAATATATATAATATATATAATATAGATAATATATATAATATATAATATATATATAATATATATAATATATTATATATATAATATATTATATATATTATATATTATATTATGTATATATTATGTATATATTATGAATTATATATATTATATATATTATATATATTATATATATTATATATATTATATATATTATATTTTTTTTTATATTTTATATATATTATATATATATGCATACAAAACCCCTTGATAACCTCCAATTAATAACTATTCATTCTGGTTTAGGAACCCCATTACCCTCTGGTAATTCAACATAGCTATGGAAAATTGCCCATTTATTTCGATGATCATGTTGCTTCTATTAAACATGGTTATTTTCCGCCCTGTTAAATTACCACAGGGTAATTCTTGTACAAATACATGTGTCCGGTCACGATTTTTCAAGCTGATGATTGTATTCCATCAAGAATTCCCCATATCCTATGAAAAATAATTTGCTGAAACACATCCATTACACCTACACAACCAGTTCTCAGAGATCTTTTACCTCACGATGACACAGGCGGCGCTCTCACGCGCTGTGAGCATTGGAGGCATGTCCTGGCGATGAAATCTTCGCAACACTCAGGAGTTCACCGAGTTCTCACCAGGAGTTCTATGGAAAAATTGTGATTTCATGCGATTTAACCATGAAAAATATAGAAAAATAGTGATTTAATGGAACTTAATGATAATTTCATGGGATTTAACCATCAAAAAAAGGGATTTCACAGTGGTTTCATGAGATTACTGTTGCTATCTGTTACTTCTACTCTTATCAAAATTGCTAAACACATCTCAAACTTGCCAATCGCGACAACAACAGCTACTTCTCCATCTTTTGGTTCCTTACAAATGCAATATATAAATCCCCATTAAGGAAAGGCAACCATCCACCAATTAATATCCAAGTTTTAGACGATGCAGATGTCTGGAAATGGGAAATTGACCCACAATCAATGGCAATCTGTGGAAGGGGAAATGATGATCGTCCATCAAGTTTGGGGGTTGCCAAATTTCAAACAGACCCAAATATGTATAATATATATATATACATATGTATACATATAGATATATGCGTATACATATACATATACACATATACACATATACACATATACACATATATACACATATACACATATATACATATATACACATATATACACATATACACATATATACACATATACACATATATACATATATATACAAATATATATACATATACATATATATATATATACATATACATATATACATATATACATATACATATATACATATATATACATATATACATTTATACATATATACATATACACATATACACATATATACATATATACATATTTAAATATACATATACATATATACATATATATATATACATATATACATATATACATATATACATATACATATATACATATATACATATATACATATACATATATACATATATACATATATACATATATACATATACATATATACATATATACATATATACATATACATATATACATATATACATATATACATATATACATATACATATATACATATACATATATACATATATATATACATATACATATATACATATATATATACATATATACATATACACATATACACATATACACATATACACATATATACATATATACATATATATATACATATACATATATATATACATATATACATATATACATATATACATATATATATATACATATATACATATATTCATATATACATATATACATATATACATATATATATATACACACATATATATACATATATACATATATACATATATACATATATACATATATACACATATACATAATTTTATATACATATATACACATATATATATATATGTATATGGAGGCTTCCTAAAATGAGGGGTGGTATGTACCCCTAAATCATCATAAACCATCCATTTCAGACGGTGGATTTTCCATACCATACAGCTACAGTGGGCGCACCCGCCAGGAATGGCTTTCCAGAGCCCAACGCTCCGCCAGCACACTGGCCTGGCCGTTGTGAAGCACTAAAAACCATGTGCCATTGAAACCAATGGAAAGCCACAAATCTATAGTATAATGGATTTATGACTATAGTATATAACATAGCCATGGAAAGTATAGTTTATAACTATAGTATATAAGTATATAACTATAATAAGTATATGATACCCTCTGGTTATTTAACATAGCCATGGAAAAATGGCCCATTTATAGATGATGTTCCCATCAAATACCTCCAATAAATAGTATATGATAAATTAAAATATTTCACTAACCTGAATTAAGGCCATTTGGGGATGATTTCCCTTACTAAGTGAGGGAGAACAGGGTTCGGTCGTTATAATTTACCCAGATGGTTGATTTTGAATAGTTTAATACTGAACATATCCCATGATTGATCTTAATACTGATGCTATAGTTATATCAAGTTACCCTCTGGTAAACTGTCACATAACTATGGAAAATCACCATTTTTAATGGGAAAATCCACTGCTGAAAAAAAATGAAAAATCATGTTCACCATCAAAACTGTGACTGACCGTACCATGGGGATCACCCATGGCCCATATTGTTTCTGCTGAAAATTATGTACCCCAAAGTGCAAACATGTAATCAACAACTGGGTAATGATTTAGCCATCATCATTTGGATGTTTGTGAAACTTGGGTAGCCAACTTTCTTTACTTGTATGGCCTCAAACGAACTTGGGTTGTCTCGAAAATAAAGTGGAACCTTTGCGAATTTCGACCCCAAAAATCTGTTTGAATTTGAGCCAATCATTTGGATTGATTTGGGATATCTTGAACGCTCATGGGCGTTTACCTCAACCCGTCGTTTTCAGCACCTCGGCAAAATCAACTATGCAATGATAGCTCACGAAATCACCGACATAGCTTCCACTGCTATCCCATTGTGCTGGGCGACTTAGGGGGACCCAAAATCGTCAAAACATGTCACCTTTGTGTCCGAAAACCACGAATGTCAACTCTTCACCTATAAAAGAGAAGACCGTGTGCTCATGTGTGCTCCGCACAGCCAGTTGTACTTGGGATATACCCCAATGGTTGAGGTATGTTAAAGTTATTATTGTTAACATTTATTAACCAGTTTCTAGTTGACATCCCAAGCTTTCCACAGCCTCCTTGTTATGGCGGCCGCCAAGGATGTAGATGTCGCCCTGTTGTGTTTCGATATGTTTCCATCATTCGCGCAAGACTGGTCATGGTGATGTTTGGTGAGGAACCGTGCAATCTTATGGTATGTTTCATCTGACGTATTGCAGAAATGAAAACAGCATCAATCGTGTGTTCACATTTCTCAACGTCAATGCAATAAATGCAACGTAGATGATGGTCCGTGTGTTAGTTGATGCCACAAACATGTGCTCATGAAGAAACATGCAAAAGGACATGCCATCATTCTGGATAAATTTAAGAACTCACCTGGAAAGTTCGGTAAAAAAAACAATCCTAACCATCAAACGTTCCTCAAAAGTTCGCTCAATTTGATTTCCATCCTGCCTCGGGAGATACGGCGGCCGCTGGGGACAACCGTGGGATCCTGACCAGAAAATACCGTCTGGTGGTTTCAAACCGACTGTGAAAGTCGCATAGCTGCCATAGCTCACTTATAGATGTTCAAATTCTTGAACACATAAAACATGAGTGAATCGAAACAACATCCAGCCGCCTCTAAAACGACCAAAAAAGATCTGCGGCCAAATGCCTTGAACCGTTCGCTGGAATCATAATCCCATTGAGAAATGTTCGCTTGAACATCATCGGAAGATGTTTGAAACTACCAACCAACTAATAACCAGATTGTCATATACAGTAGTTATAATAGTCATATACATACAGTATATAATTATATATAGTTATGTGATGTTATATGATATATGTGTCCGTTCGATCTGTTCAATCCCATCGTGGCTGGCCACCACGCCTCCAGCTGGGCAGTTGCACCCAAGACGCCTGTGGGCGCCCAGAATCAATGGATTGGTTTAAGGGAAAATTGAAACCGGAACCCCCTACATGTCATGGGTCAATCCAAGGTTTCCGGTGAAGATTTTCCCGACTAAACCAATCCATTACCAGAAGGATTGAAGAAACGCAAGATCTGATCTACTTCAGATGACTGGTTCAAACTGTTTTCAGCAAGGAATCTTCGACTGTTGGAACGGCATCAAAGCTGTAGTCTTCCGGAGGCACCTGCCCAAATTGAAGCTTCAGACCTCGGTACAAAGGCTGCTTGAAATTATCCAATGACTAACAGAGATGATAGAAAAACATATCATTTTGGAATTTGGATGATGTTCATGGACCCATGTTATTAATAGTCAATCATCATACGTGATTCACCATAATCAATAATGCAAATGGTGTTCATGTTTTCATGCCTGTGTTATACGTTTCCGTGATGACTTTGAGAATCTATGAGACCGCCGACCACCAGGCCGGTAGTTCACTCTGGCAAAGGCAAGGGAAGATTGCCAGTCTGTTCTCACTATGGGAATGGATTCTCCCCCGTTGGTACAATGTGGGGCCTCCGAACGATAGCCAAGTTGGTGCAAATAACTCCAATGTCACTATGGGATATAGTAGATATAATTTTAATTAGTATTCATGGGGTTTACAAACCAACTTACAACTAGGGGTCCCCCCATTGTCGATAAATTTTCTATCGAACATGGGGCTTTCGCGTTGCCAGCTTTCAATATTGGAGAAATTTGCCAAAATTACCCAAGGGTGCAGCAATTGTACGCCAAACTGAAACGTCTGTGGTGCCCCATGCTTAGCCAAGTTGGTTTGGAACTACAATAATTGGAGTTTATGGGTTATGGGGAATATCTATTCTTAGCGTAGATATAAACCAACTTATAACTGGAGGGGCCACCTTGATTGTTTTCTGGGTGGTTCCCCATACGAACTGATCATGGTGGAAGGATCTGATCTTGTGTCAAAGCACTGATCCCCCGTTGCGCAAATCATTGGTTGAGTACTAAGAACGAGACCAATGTGTTGTTATCCTCCTATGTTGCAGCTATATCCTATAGCAATTTATCGTTGAAAATACCTCTTGGTAGCTCCAACTGGCTCTCCCTTTATCCTTGGATACCATTGGATACCGATCCAAATCGTTCCCTCTTAACCACTGGATAGCAATCCAGTTGTCATACTACTGTCGGGTAGATTTATTTCCAATATTTCGAGTGTCCCAGGTTTGTTGATTATTATGACCATATGTTTCATTGAAACAAGGTTTTTCTTTGGTTGTTGTGGTCCTATCATGTCTTACTCACGTATATATATATATATATATGTACATACATACATACATATGTATGTATATATATATATGTATATACAAAAATATATGTGTATATATATATACAGTCCGACTATTATCGTCCTATTGAGTAGATATATCCTATGTCCCACCATATTATTGGTGGTTTCCAAAAATAGGTGCCCCCATATCATCACTTTTAGTAGGATTTTAAAACCATCCAGCTATTGGGGTACCCCCATTCTAGGAAACCTCCATATCAATATATCTGGTTGGTGGTTTCAACCCCTCTGAAAAATATGAAAGTGAGTTGGGATGATGACATTCCCAATATATGGAAAGTCATATTTTTTTTCCAAACCACCAACCAGATCCTATTTCTTGTCAACGCAATTCATAGGCTCCGCACATTCACTTCGGGCCAGGGCAGTGGTCGGCGACTCTGTGGTCGCTCCTCCGATGGAGACCTACTGCGGAATCGCAGGTGAAGCAAACATGGTGAGTTTGGGAAACGAACATAGGAATTAGGGCCAATAATTTCCAAGATCTACTGTATACTTTATGCCACATTTATACAACTGTTGTACTTTAGATCTATATGGTCTATATGTGTAGATATACATATATATATTAACACATCTTGCTATCTGTCTATGTATCCATCCATCCATCTATGTATCCATGCATCTACGTATACGGTAAAATTATTGGTGATGTTTGATGAACATCCACAAAATGACCCGGCATGTTCCACTCCTGTCAGGGATGTGATTTTGACTTGCGGCCATGAACTACTGCAATCATGGGCTCTGAATCCTAAGAGAGTGCCCCATTCCATCCCATGGTGAATCATTGTCGCTCTTATGAAAATAGCCATAAGGTGAGGTAAACTTCCGTTTTCAGACAAACTCAACTATCATAACATATCAAGTTGGTCACACACATATATATATATATATATCACATATATATATATATATATATATATCATATATATCATATATACCATATATATCATATATATATCATATATATATATATATCATATAGATATATATCATATATATCATATATATCATATATATCATATATATATATATATATCATATGTATCATATATATCATATATATCATATACATCATATATATCATTTACATCATATATATCAAATATATCATATATATCATACATATATATATATATCTTGTATATATATATATCATATATATATATATATCATATATAGCATATATCATATATATAGCATATATATATATCATATATAAATCATATATGTATCATATATATATATATATCGTATATGTAATATATATATATATATATCATATATATATATCATATATATATATATAGCATATATCATATATATCATACACCATATATCATATATCATATCACATGTGTATATGTATGTATATATATATATACATTAGAAGCTACATATTAATGTGACAACCACCCAACCGACAGAAAAGTCAGATCGCCGATGGGTCCCCCCACCAGTCCCTGGTACGAGCTCCAAGCCTTAAGCGGCCACCGAATTTGGGGATTTCATGCGAAATTTCCCGGTGATTGGATGGGTTTAAGGGGGAAATCTTCAGCAAACCATGGGTCTCCCAGATGTCTTGGGGGGTTCTGTAAATGTTCCCGGCATTCAATTGTGGGAGGTAAAATAAGCTCATTTGGTCTCAAACCATAGGGGTTAACAAGCTTAAAATACTAGTTAAGTGGCCAACAAGTTTCTTTCTATAGTTTCCGGCTAAAATTGGGCTTACAACCTGTGACAAAAATGGGACTTAAGCAACTGAGCAACAAACATGGGAAACTTGCAGAAAGCCTTTTTATCAAAAATGTTGGGAGATAAGCAATGAACAACACATATGGAGGGTATGATATGACCAATGCATTTGGCTCATATCTATTGATTCAGCCATATCTTCATTTTGTTTTGCTATACCCTCTGGCTATTTAACATAGCTACTGAAAATGGTCCATTTATAGAGGATTTATGATGATTTACCTATCCAAAATGGTGATTTTCCATAGCTACGTTAAAGAACCAACTGTATGTTTGAACCGGTACATGTGAACATGTATTTCCATACCATTGTTCACTCGTGATTGAGCCACGCATGACAATATTGATCAAACGGGGCCCCAATCATCCCAAACATTTTCTCAACACAGGCAATCTACTAGGCTGGTATTTAAAACAAAAACAAGCTTGGAAAACAAACGGCTGGTTGCTGGCATCAACCCCTTTCAAAAATATGGGTGCTTGAGGATCATCATCATCCCAAATAAGGATCGGAAAACGTAGAGTGCTTCAAACAACTGGAAAAGAATGATGATCTTGGCTTTGAACTTTGCACTGTTGATGCAAAAATCCTCGTTCCTGCTGGATAAATCTTCCTTTTTGCATCGTTTCAATCCCCAAGGTTTTACTTCCTTGGGGGTTTTGGTGAATGCTGGAACCATAGGCATCACCATCCAGCAAGGTGCCATGGTGGGCGCCACGCGCAGGGGCACCTGGGTTTCGGATGGTGCTGTTATGAACTTTGCGGCAATTTACTGGGGAATATGATGATTCTATCAGAATTGACTAGAGGATTCCTGACCAGAATGATGACAATATGAACAATTACAGTACATCACAATAAATGTAATGATATGTAATGATTCACCAGTGGATTGTGCAATTTAAGGGCTTCTGCTAAGTGTATCCCCTTGAGGGGCAAGATGCGAGGAAATCTTCTGATCATAATGATGATTGTTGAATGATCATGAGAGTTTCAATGAGTTTCATTTATATATATATATATAAGTAATCCACTTTGTTCAAGGGGAATGTGATGACCAGTAGCCTAGGAATTTGTATACTGTACCCCATTTGGGGTCAAGGCCTTACATGGTCTGCGAGACCACAACAGATCTATGTATAATTTAGATGTATCTTGTCTCGTCTACTGGATCTGTATCTTCAGAAAAGACAAAAGGATGATTCACAACATGATTTGCGTACAACAACAGAAACGCATACATAGCCAATGAATCAGTAGAAAAAACTATAGTTACGTTGATACTACATGCAAGCATGTTTTTCTACAATTGCCGGGTGAGATTCATGTCGGTAAAGCAGTAGTAAACAGTTCCCAATGACTTCCCAAACAATTGGTAGTAATAAACATGTATAACTGTATATACTGTATAAACCATCAAAATATGAGTGGTTTATTATTCTGGGTAAATTAAAATATTTCACTAACCTGAATTAAAACCATTTGGGTACCGCACCTGCGCTGGCAAAGGCTCAATGGTCCACTGACTTGCCTGGAAAATGATTGGAGGATGAGCCGCTCGACATAAAAAATTGGAAAGGAATTCTTTTGGTTTTTCTGATGCTAAGATTTGGGAAAAAATAAGTGCTAATCTTGGGGGACTGGATTGTGATCTCCGGTCCCGATCAACTGGGCGTCATCATCTTCGCGATAAGGGCATCGTTTTTTCTTTCGGTCGGGTCACCGGGTCAACAACCATTTTCTCAGCAAGGTTTAGTCCCAGATCTATGGGTCAATATCCTGTACCATTTATTTTTTCCCCACCTGCCAGGTGAGGGTTGTTAGATTTTATCAGAGCTGTTCTCCTCATCCAACTTCTCCTCCTCCTCCGCCTCCTCCTCCAGTTTCTCCTCGACCATGTCTGCATCAACTTCCACCTCCACTTCCGCCTTGCCAACTCTTCGCCAAGCTCTCCGCCAACACCGAGCTCAGTGCGCACCGCTGGACCTCAACCTGGGACCTTCCCAGCTCAGTGTGCACCGCTGGACCTCAACCTGGGACCTGCCCAGCTCAGTGCGCACCGCTGGACCTCAACCTGGGACCTTCCCAGCTCAGTGCGCACCGCTGGACCTCAACCTGGGACCTTCCGAGCTCAGTGCACACCGCTGGACCTCAACCTGGGACCTTCCCAGCTCAGTGCGCACCGCTGGACTTCAACGGCCAGATAGAATGCCAGAAGATATGCCAGATAAAGTGCCAGAATGTTTGCCAGATAGAATGCCAGAAGATTTGCCAGATAATATGCCAGAAGATATGCCAGATAGAATGCCAGATGGAATGCCAGAGGATATGCCAGAACGTATGCCAGAAGATATGCCAGGTAGAATGCCAGAAGATATGCCAGATAGAATGCCAGATGGAATGCCAGAAGATATGCCAGAACATCTGCCAGAAGATATGCCAGGTAGAATGCCAGAAGCTATGCCAGATAGAATGCCAGATAGAATGCCAGAAGATTTGCCAGGTAGAATGCCAGAAGATATGCCAGATAGAACGCCAGATAGCATGTCAGATAGAATGCCAGAAGATTTGCCAGATAGAATGCCAGAAGATATGTCAGGTAGAATGCCAGAAGATATGCCAGATAGAACGCCAGATCGAATGCCAGAAGATATGCCAGATAGAATGCCAGAAGATTTGCCAGTAACAAAACGTATAAATGTCATGGTGGGGATGACTCGAAGTAAAGTAATTTCCCTTTTTTCCACCAAACATCACCATAAGATAGTTGGCAAATGGATGTTAACCATTGTTAATCCCCCTAAATTTCTACTCAGAGGGATTCATCCAACGACCATCTGTGCACCTCAAGATCGAGACGCTCCACTGTGGAGCCACTGGTTCCGCCTCCCAGGATGATCCCTCCATAGGCATAAATATATCCCAGCGGCCAGCTATGTTGGATTACCAGAAGGTACATTATGCTGGGAATAAACTCCATTTGGCTAAGTGCACACTCAACAGGTCACGTGAGTGGAAGGTTTTGTTTCGCAATTCTGAATGGCAGAGCCCTCTGGGTGTAGAATGCGTGCACACTGCTCGAGGAGTGATATATTTGCCATTCATTCAAATACAACTGATATATGTACCACAATGGGTTGCTTCCACCCAAAGGACCTCTTTTTCAGCTCCCGAATGCACAACTTTTGGTGCATCTGAAGTCTGGTGTTAAAATCAGACTGTTCAGTTCAAACATATACATGATTCAAATTCCATAATTATCCCATTAGCCCTATATGAATTTTCAAACCCCCATTCTAATCATTCTATGATCCCAAAAATGTATAAATCCCTTATTAAACAATGGTACCGAGATCAGTCACGTCCCACCTAGCACGAAGAGGTCGCCGCCCAGGACCTGAGGGAGAAATGTTTCCTGCAAAGGTCTTCGCAAGTTAGGACCCAAGCTAAACGGAAAAAGAGAACACTCAAAGTACTTGTAATTTGTTCCATGATGCAACCATGGGGAACACTTGGGTGAATTGAGGGAACAAATTACAGGAGACGACGGCTTCTGATTTTAACATACATCAAAACCGTGGGCCGGAAAAAAACTCTGAGCTCGCAAAATAAACTAGAAATTACTTTCTTCGAGTGATCCCCACCCTGATGCATAATTCTGACATAGTTTCTGACATATCATCTGGAAGTCATTCTTTTGATCATATACTCTGAGGTTCTTTCTGGCATCTATTCTGACATACCTTCTGGCATATATTCTGACATTCTTTCTGGCATTCTATCTGGCATATCTTCTGACATTCTTTCTGGCTTTCTATTTGGCATATCTTCGGAGATTCTTTGTGGTTGAGGCCCGGCAGGAAACACTCTGATCCTGAGTTTGCTGTTCGGGTCCGGCGGGGAACATTGCGATCTAGCGCTTGCAGTTGAGGTCCGGCGGAGGTCATTCTGCTCCTGAGCTTGGTGTTTGTGCGATCTAGCGCTTGCAGTTGAGGCCCAGAGGAGGAGAAGGAGAAGGAGGAGGCGGGACAGCTGACATAAAATCTATAACAAGCCTCACCTGACAGGTGAGGAAACATGCAAAATCGGTGAGGGTGAATGGTTGGTGGTGTCAACCCCTGCAAAATAGGGAAGTCATTGGGGATCGTCATCCATTTCTATGCTTGAAAATAGAACATGCTTAAAACCACCAGCATCACCAACCAATGTGGTTGATTGCCACATCAAAAACTTGTGATTCTCCCATTTGTGGCGACAAAAAGTGTGGGATATACCCTCTGGGAATTAAACATGGTTTGCTGGAACATTCCCATGTACTTTGTGGACTTCCCTCAGGAAGCCATGTTTGATGACCCTTTGGGGCTTCATATCCTAAGCATCCGGACCGCCACTGTTGGACAGGTGCGGCCTTCAATCAAGCTCGGCGCCTCACAAGACCATTGTGGAACTCAGCAACGACACTTAAAATCTCTGGTGAAGAAGTGCCGAAGATTAGGGAAATCTATGGAAACTTACAGGAAATGATGAATCTTTTGCTGTGTCACAGCTGTCAAACGCGGATTTTCCTCAAAATTCCCACCGGTTTTAAGGAAAACACAGATTCAACCTCTTTGACTGTGGGTTTCAGAAATACTCAAACCACGTCTCAACCCTTTGAATGCGAAGGACTCCAAGTCAAGTTTGATGAGCCACATAATTTTGTTGGTGAAACCCCCATTCAATCCCAATGTTTGATGGTGAATACCGATTCATCCTCTCAAAAAGAAGTAGTTTATGACCAGCACAGCCGCTTGAGACCAAGTGACCATGCACCACTCGGACCTGCGGCGGTCACAGTTCATTCCAGAAGGCTTTTTCAACAAATGATGCAAAACTTGGTCTTCCGCAACCTCTCTCTGTGATCCAATCATCGCCTCGAAAGGCTCTCGCACTGGAGGACGGGCTCGGTATTCCGCCCACCGATCACATAGACCTGAAGGGCCACCATTGACAAATGAAACAATTTATTTTTGAGCAAAGGGCCTCAGAAACAACCACCCAGAAAAAAAACACTGGTTAAGTGTCGCTCGTACTATTTTTCAAAAAATGTTTAGCATGGTTTTAGTTTAGTATGGTGTTAGTTTAATATGGTTTAGCGTGGTTTAGTAGTGGAGCTCTTCATTTGGAAGCCCCATGTGATAATGTGTCAAAGTGTATTAGTCCCTTGCCTCGGACCTTTACATCGGTGGCCTTATGACATACCTTCGCTTTGCTCACCATGTCAGTTGCCAAAAAGAATTGGCACATCCTTGGCAGCATGCGTATATAGGCGCCTAATTAGTCCGATCGCAGGGAGCCATCCTGGCGCGGATCCGGCGACCTAAAGAAGACATGCTCGAGCACCTGTTCCGCAATTGCGCAAACAATTCCGCGGACGAGCATTGTGTCGACCATCAGGATGTGGACCCGGTAAGCGTGTTTACTTGGCAGGGCCTGGGGGGGCGCCTTGCTCAAGCTCTTCTTAACAAGGGTCCCCGGCTGCCATGAATTCTGCTGCACTACCACCCTCTGGCAAGGCATCGAGCAAGCCTAAGAGTCGCCGGTCGTTGGAAAATCCGAACGGGTCACCAGCCCGACGCGTCACAACCTTTGCGTGTGCATACGATGGTGTTGTAGGAGCAATACATGACCCCCTCCAAAGAGGCACTGCGATCAATGCCTGCGGTGCAACTTGCAGCTGTTGTCACCAGGGCACATTCATGAATTCATACAGTTGCGCGCGGAAACAAAATTCGCTACACCTCCACCCCGTTGGGGCGCTCAACGCGGGTGCTAATGTACAGGCTCATGATTGAAGGCTTGGCACGTTTCATGCTCCAATCAACACTGGGCAAGGTGCCGCACTGAAGCTCCCGCTTCAAGCGCGAATCCTCCAGAAGTCTGGGGATCACGGCGCGCCACTCCATGCCGAGCATCCTGCATCTATAGAATTCGAGCGCTTTTCACACAACTCAAAAATTCATGCCCAATCATAATACACAATACCCTAGAAGTCAGTGGTCCTACTTTGAGGTCCCAGGAATTTCCGTAGAAAGTGGTCTCAAAAGGTACGATCAGCCACATGTACTTTTTACATCTTTGGTCCTAAAAGTACATCTTCTCTTGATGTACTTTTTGGGTCCCTAAGACCTTACAAGGTACATATCGAAGTTACATGTCTGATGATGTTTGGCTGAAGGGATTGCCATATATATATATAGTGGCCATAAAATCGTGAGCGAGTACAAGCATATTATGGAAAGTGGACCTAGAAAGTACCTAGGAGCTGAAAAGGAGCTTGTTAGGCAAAATTCGGCACATTCGGCAATCATATCAGAAATCGTGAGCAATCGTGAGCACTCCTTAATAGCATCCGTCAACATTTATGAGTGACTGAGTCTCTAAAAGATAAAAAATCGGCCGTAGAAGGCCGGCAGTGCTAAAAAGGCTCGGCCGTAGAAATTCGGCAATGCTATAAAATCTCGGCGAAAGCACTCTTTAGGCCAACTTTTCCTAAGGACGTACTTTTTGAGGTCCCAAGACTTTCTAAGTATAGCTGATGTTTACAGCGCTTGGAACTTGCCCGTATTTGCCCAAATCACAAGCAGAGCAGGCTGCCGGCTCCTTTCTGAGTCTTCCACCTTTCCAACGAGCCAACGTCGCTTCACTGGCACCGGTGCTGGATAGGTCGGGGCATCTGGGTGGATGTCCGCCTCGTCCCATAAGCTGAACGGCTCTTGAGCCGGAGACGTGGGCGAGGTCCGGGAAGTGGGCGACGGGGGATGGCAACGATGCCGCCGGAGAGGTGGGTGAGGCCGGCGACATCGGCGAGACGGGCGTAGGGATAGAATACGATAGAATCACTATTTCGCTCAAAGTAATAACCAAAACTATCACCCGGCCAATCCTTCACCACGGGTGATGTTTTTCACCCACCCCATAAAGGGGAAATATCAAGACTTCTTATGATGATTATCCTTGAAGGAGGGAAGCATGAATGTCGTCCTGGTTCCTTTCTGCACCTAACGAGTTCGATTGTCTCAGATACTGCACATTCCATGTTTTCTTTCACAACATGAACTGAAAGCAAGATGGCAAAAGAAAAGGCAAACCAATCATCTCAAAATAATCAAGGAAGTCTCTCTCATACAGGTGTGTATGAATAAATATATATATAATATGTGATCATGCGGCCAGCACTTGTGCCATGCCCCAAACTCTTTTGGGATGATTGTCGGGAACTTCATTTTTTGTGACCATTACAGTACTTTGTGGCCTTCCATTATGTCGAGATGATTTACGCTGATGTCCCCCACTTCGCTTCGTGAGGGACGTGATTGATGACCCTCTGCGGGGATTCGGCTGAAATCCTCTCGCTGTTTTCAACACTTTTACATAAGCCCTAAAGAGAACCTAGAAAAACGCGAGGAAAACCTCAAAGAACCCTGAAGAAACCCTAAAGAAACCCTAAATGAACCCTAAAGAAATCCTAAAGAAACCCTAATGAAACCCTAAATGAACCCTAAAGAAACCCTAAATGAACCATGACAAAAACCATATGAAAGTGTATATAGCGAACGTGCTGCGGGTAATAATACTATATATATACATATATATGTGTGTGATCATGTTCTGTATATCAAATACATATTGAATATTAATATATATATATATGCTATATAATTACATATAATATCAAAAAATATATGCCAAATGTCAACCATACTATTCTCCTCGCATCCTTCCTGCTGACCTGGTTCCGGAACTCCACCGCGGCGCATCCCCAGCGTGCGATTCTCAAAGGCGACCTGGTGACGACTGAGGATCATTTCCCACTTCTTACGACTCGTAAGGGGCGAGGAACCGGGGCAAGTTATGGTGGATTAATGGTGATTTAATGGGAATCGAATATTTTCTTAATAATGATTAGTGGTGTTACTACCTGGTGTTACCCTCTGGTAACCAAATATGGCAATGGAAAATGCTCCACTCATGGATGATTTACTTGTAAAAAGATGATGACCTTCGATAGCTTTGTTAAATTACCAGAGGGTATAATTTACCTAGTCATGGGACTTGCTAACCTGGTGACTGGGATGATCCAAGTAGTGTCTATCCACATTGACTCCGAGGACAAATCCACCAACCATGGTTTAACCAGCTAACCTCTGGTGATCTGATACCTGCCAATCAAAGATAGCAATGATGAAGAGTCATGTTTGATGGTTAAAAAAGACGTATTCAAATATAATAAATGGATATTGAAATGATGAGGGATTGTCCGTTGCCAGGTTCGATTACGCTCAAAATAACACCGGAGATATCCAGAGATGTTGTTCCCCCGAGCCCTGAATTTGGTCATTTGATGCTCATCATTCTAATGGTTTCTGGGCATCTTATCCTTCCAATTCAAATCAATTAGTTTATACTTTCATACCACCCCAAAGTGGTACTTTGGGATGACATCTGCACGGGCGCTGTAGTTAATAGCTGAATAATGGGAAGGAGCAGCACGTCCATTGTCATCTCAGGATCAAGCACAGTCTGCCAGGTGTTGCTGTCGAGATTGTACCTCTTCCAGGCTGGCTTCGCATTCCCAGGGACATTTTTCGAGGTGGAATCAGGAGAATGATTCACTTCTTATGAAGGGGAGCTGATAAACATATCTAGAATTTGAAACCAGCTGTTCAACCAATGTAGCTAAGGAGTGATTTCAAGTGGTGGTTTGAAATGCTCGGGGATGCCTCTGCTTGTCACGATCCCGCAAAAAAGATCCTGGTACTCCAAACCACAGGCTCACTTGATATCTGTGAACGATTGATTGATGCTGCGGCCATTTGAACGAAACTGCTCAGGAAGATTCTGGCGTAATTGGGATCTTGAGATCCGGACCTTTCTAGACATGAAAGATCCCAATTCATGGCCATCAAACAATGGGGAAAATGATTCAAGCAGCACTGAACTTGTGGGCTGCGCACTCCTCCACAGAGTCAAGAGCTGTGTCTCCATCCTGTCACCGATTATTCACCGAGACAAGCCACATAGAAATGGGAACGGCTCAAACAAAAGGAACCAATCATGTTTTCAAATTTGCTGCAGATCTTGAGTTGGACTTAGAACAATCCCCAAATCAAGTACTGTAGGTATATTTTTTAAGACCCTTGGGCCAGAGACACAATATAATTCCTCTATCCGATCTCATTTCATGTGAACCCGCAAACAGTCCAAACCACAAGAACAACTCAGCAAATCTCAACGAATTGCAGTACATTGCCATACAAATCCACCACTTGAACCAATGTCACTTTCTATTTTAGTGTAGTCTGCGAGGGAACAACAATGTCGCTTTTGTAGAATACAAACTAGATAGGCCCGTTCGGTCTACTATGCAAACCCTAGAAAAAATGACGGTGTGAAGTCTAAGGTCAACTCCCAACAAAGTCATCCACCACCCATAAATTCAAGGCGGGCCCTGAAATAATAGGTAAGTTGGTGAAACAGTGGGCTAATTGACGGCTAATTTTGGTGTATGGTAGATTCAACTACAGTATGCCATAGTTGGGTGATGTTGCATGGGTTTACAAATCAACTTATAGTTGCGCGGGGTACCACTTTGTATGGGTCTCAGGTACTGTAGGGAATCCCAGTTCATCACAGCACCTTTCCGCCCGTTGTGACCGTGCCTTTCCACCCATGACCAACACACGGCCGTCGCTGGTGCACACAGCAGCCCCAGAAGCGCGACCGCGGTCCATGTCGGCAACTTGTTGCCTGGGACACATGGGCTACCATGACACACCGCATATGCAAGAAGTACTGTTTGTTTGTGAAACATTTCGAGACCAAACCAGGACTGAAATGGGTTTTAGGTTTGAACCATCCATATTCATCTGGTTTTCTCTGAAAATAAGGTAAAGTAGGGCAATCAAATTTGATGATTTTTCATTAATTTCCACATCATATAACATTGCCACAACTTGGGGGTATCCCGCAAAACTGATCGGCATGGTGGAAGTCTCCCACCTGGGGTAACCCCGGGAAAATGGGGTCTCAAGTCAAAAACCACAATGACAAACAACAAGCAAATCACACAAGGGGTCACACCTCCCAATTTCCATGATGGAACTATCAATCATATCTGTCGATTATATGTGTTTGTAGCTGATTTTAGCCAGAAACCTCTATTTGGTGGGGATTTCCCATACATCTTGTGCCATGTTCATGACGTCGTCGCTCCAACTTCCCCGTCTCAGCGGCCACTTTCCATCGAAGAGTTCCACAGATCTGCTCGCGCCACCGTTGCCAGCGTTGCCACCCAGCACCAAGATGCGACTGGGGAACCAATGCCTTGGTGCCCCATCCACCATGGTGGTGAGTGTTTCATATGGATTTTCAGATGTAGCTATGAATGAAAGGTTGGATGTGTATTGTGTATGTTTGGTTTTATGTCGATCTGATATGTTGGATATGATATGATGGGATGTCATAAGAACATAGTTGTGATGGTGATAGAGGTTTTGTTTTAAAAAAAAGGAATCAAAAAAAGACCACGTCGTTGGTCATGTTTGATGGGGAAACCAATGGTTGAAACTTCAGATCCTGGAATCGCAGATATTGTGCATGTTTAAGGCTACCCTCTAGTAATAAAATGGAGTCTCATAGCTGGGATAATCATCTATACATGGAGGAGTTTCCAGCTAGCCATGTTTGATTACCAGATTACCAGCGTGTAAACATTCAAACCTTAGGAGTAGCCAACATCGGACTATCAAGCCGTAGCCGCAGAGAAGTGCTACAACTTCAGCCCCAAAATTGTGGATGTAACTCTCGGGCCGACTGATGTAACTTGCCTTCCAACATGGCGGCCTCATTAAATCTCATGAAATCTCATTAATCTAACGGAATCTAACAGATCCTACTGGGAAAAGCCATCCAAGTTGCTGTTCGAATCGATGTTCGAATCGTTCAACTGGGGATAGATTTCATTGGATGGTTGTTTTTTTTTAATCAAAGCCTCACTTCTCTTGTCATGGCAACGCTGGATTCCTATGGCCACGTGCTTGTTGGTAAATATGTCCTTAAACCAGCCACTGTTGGACCTGTTGGACCTGTTGGTGGATTGCTTCAAAGCCGGATTAGACCACCTTGGACCTTGGCTCAAGGTTCTGACGATGGCACAAAAAGTATTCAACACCATGAAGGTAACTAGGATAAATATTATTATTATACATGCACATGAAGCGGTTCCCAAATGTGCTAAATGACTTTTCAATCCTCAATCCCTTTTAGGCCGAAAATCCCACAAAACCAAACAATTTCACACAGCTTCTCAAAGAATCCTCAATCCTCATTCTCAGCAAAAGCAAGTGACTCGAAGGCAAATGCCACTTCTTGGATTGGTTTCAACCTTGGCTAAGCACAAAGTTCCAGGTCTAAAACAAATCGCCCATGCAAGGCCCCATTGAAAGGCGTTGATTTCCAGTACCATGGATGTAAGATGATGAAAGTTTTCTGAAAGCCCAATGGTATCGTAATCAATGTTACCCTCTAGTGCTGTACTTACACCACACCGACACATTTTTTGAGGCTTCAGTGGTAGTGGCAAAATTCTCGAGCTACTAGGTATGCTGTCTGCCATTTAACGTTCTTCAGATTTTGTTTGTTCTACTTTGGGGGTTGCCCGGGTTGCCCGGGTTGCCCCTCTTTGAACAATCGGTGGAATCCAATGGTCTGCAGCATACCCAAAATCCAATGGTCTATGATTTTGGCAGTACGATACCATACCATACGATGCCATACTAATGGTCGTGTCATCATTTTCCCTACTATAAATTTTAAAATTGCAATTCTTCAGATGTGCAGTATACACAATTCTTGGATAAACCCTGGGACAAATCCATTGTTTTCAAAGATATCCATTAAATCATTGTTTCTGACCATTATAATGCATACAAATATCAACAGGTAACATGCTTGTCCCCTACAACCAACATAAATCTCAGCTGTTCCCTGCCAAAATTGCTATTTTGGGGAGTCAAAACGCCAATGTTTACTGGTCAAATCACCATCTTAGACGATGGAATCCCCATTTTGTCAACAAATGTATCAAGTACATTCAAGTACTACCTGGTTGGTGGTTTTAACCATCTTGAAGAATATTAGTCAATGGGAAGGATTATCCCATATATTATTGAAAATAAAAAATGTTTGAAACCACCAACCAGACAATGATGTATTGAAATCATTCAAAAAAACACAAATACAAATTCAAATGCCACGTGCTCATTTTAAACTTTGGATCTCATGGTTTTTCATGTCATTGACAAAATCATATATCCCACGTGATATCCCCATGATATTCCCCTTCCCAATGACGATAAGTCAAACCTTGGTTACCGCTGGATGTAAAAATTCCCCCAGTCGCTAGTTTCATAGGTTTTGATCCCCACATATCCCCAAATGCATCCATCACTGATATGATCTGATATGTAATATATATATATATATGTATCATTATATCCCCAATATGTATATATATATATCCCACTAAATCCCAAGAAATCTCCATTGAATCACCATTAAATCACATTTTTTCTATATTTTTCATGGTTAAATCCCATGAAATCACCATTTTTCCATAGAAATCCCCATTTTTCCCATTGAATCACCATTGGATCTCCAAGAAATCCCCATTTTTTTCCATCCCCGGTGCTCCATCTGCCAGGCCACAAGTCCCAAGAGCTCCACGCCAAGCGTGCGCTGCTGCGAAACCCCAAGCAGCGCAGAAGCAGCTGCAGTGTGTCCCAGGCACGGGCCAAACAACCGGCGAAGCGAACAGCAGCCACCGGGGATTCCACCTGGGATACGTGGTGAAGATTTTTATGGTGATTGATAATTATTTATTTATTTATATATATATATCTCTCTCTATCTATCTATCTATCTATCTATCTATCTATCTATCTAGGTAAATGAAATAATATTTCACTAACCTGAATAGTAAGGGCATTTGGGGATGATTCCCCGAATCCTAACCATGATTTAGCCAGATATATATATATATATATGTACACAGTTGTAATATGTTACAATATAACAGTTATGTTAATATTATATGATATATGATGATATATGTATTTAATGTATTTATATGGTATATGTGTTTATATGATACAATAAGTTATAATAGTTATGTATATGATGTATATTAATATATATATATGTATGCTATATACATAATAGGGCAAAATTGGTGAATCTATGTGTACTATGCACACATACAGACATAATAGTTATCACCCTGAATATGTATATGTATCTGTATATATCTGTATATAATATTATATAATGTGGTTGATGGTTTTAAGCCAAATTGTTAATCAACTTAGAACTTGGACATTTTTTAAAGGGAGTTGGGCATTCCACTGTAGCTTTAGAAAACTTTGCTCGTCATGTTATCTCTCTGAAGTTCATGAATATGAGATCAGTTCAATGTGGTAAACCCGATTGTAACTTGTAGTTTTGAAGGCTTAGAAGACACCCAAATGATGAAATTCGCTTTGATTTGCTGAATCTATTGTTGAGTTTACCAGAGTACTGTACATAATCTTACCGAAACTAGTGAAAGCTCACATGCAATGACTCGCTCCCAAAGAACACATCAAATCGGGTCGGTTCATTATATTCCCATTACATCTCCATTGTATTTCCCATTCTTTTTCCAGTCATACTGGTTCTATAAACCCATTGTCAGTCTCACTTGCCACCCAGCCTGCACATATGGCACACCAGGAGCTGTACTCGGCGGACTTCGAGATGGCAATCCTTGGGATTCAGCACCGCATCTGCGGCTTGATTTGCCATGGCTGAAAACATGGTCCAGTCTGTAACTGGTTGGTGGTTTCAACCCCCTCTGAAAAATATTAGTCAATGGTAAGGATTATCCCATATATTATGGAAAAAAATGTTCCAAACCACCAACCAGGTATGCTAGTTGTATGCTAATGAAGCTCTCCTGTTTTGTGTAAGTGACGTAGGCAAAATCACATGCTCTCATCGTAGTGATACACAGGTCATATCCGTTTATAGCCCATAAAACCATCGTTTTACCCACTGGTTATTTAACGTCACCGGAAAATCGCCACTTGATAGCTAGGTAAATCATCAATTTGTGTAATCTATGTTCATGGGCCATCTGTACCATATCAAACTCTCAAACTGGACGATGGATGGCCCGAGAGCGTAAAGGAAGAGGGTCTTCTGTTGTTAGTATTGAGACACTATATTACAAGACAATATATTTATATATTAAAGATGTATTATAGGCAGACGAGAATAGTATCAAGACAAAATATTACAAGTACAAGACACTAGTTTGCATCGTATCCTTCGTATAGTTTTTCACACACAGAACCTTTTACACACAGACGCTTTTGCACACAGAAGCTTTTACACACAGAAGCTTTTGCGCACAGAGACTTTTACACACAGACGCTTTTACACACAGACGCTTTTACACACAGACACTTTTACACACGGAAGCTTTTACGCACAGACACTTTTACACACATAGGCTTTTACACACAGACGCCTTTACACGCAGACGCTTTTACACACAGACACTTTGACACACAGAACACTTTCACAAACAGAGACTTTTACACACAAAAGCTTTTACACACAGAACAGTTTTACACGCAAACGCTTTGACACACAGAAGCTTTTACACACAAAGACTTTTACACACAAAAGCTTTTACACACAGAACAGTTTTACACACAGACGCTTTAACACACAGACACTTTTACACACATACGCTTTAACACACACAGAAGCTTTTACGCACAAACACTTCCACACACAGAAGCATTTACACACAGAAGATCGAACCTCATTTCGTGAGTTAAGGGTTGCGCCCGGACAAGAGAAATCGCAATTTTACCTCAGGTTTTGGCGATCGAACCTCGTTTCGTGCGAAATTTCGTGCGAAAGGGTTGCGCCCGGACAAGGGAAATCGTAATTTTCTCTCAGTTTTTGGTGATCGAACCTCATTTCGTGCAAAAGGGTTCGCCGGACCCACTGCAAATCGCAATTTTACAGCAGCTTTTGGCGATCGAACCTCATTTCGTGCGAAAGTGTTGCGTTTCGTGCCGTCTCGTTGGCACTGCCCCGCGCCTTCAAGAGAGAAATAGAAAAGAAGGAGAGAGCAAGGGGGCAAGAGAGCAAGAGGGCAAGAGAGCAAGAGGGCAAGAGGGAAGAGAGAATGTGAAGATGTGAGGATGTGAAGATGTGAAGATGAGAAGATGTGAAGATGAGAAGATGTGAAGATGTGAGGTGAAGATGAGAAGATGCAAGAGGGCAAGAGAGCAAGAGGGCAAGAGAGAATGTAAAGATGTGAAGATGAGAAGATGAGCAGATGTGAGGATGTGAAGATGAGAAGATGTGAAGATGTGAAGATTCACAGATGTGAAGATGAGAAGATGTGAAAATGAACAGGTGTGAAGATGAGAAGATGTGAAAATGAACAGGTGTGAAGATGAGAAGATGTGAAGATGAGAAGATGTGAAGATGAGAAGATGTGAAGATGAGAAGATGTGAAGATGAAAAGATGTGAAGATTTGAAGATGTCATGTGAACATGTGAATATGTGAAAATGTTTGACAGACCCCCACTATTAGAATTAGAAGAACCCTTCGCCCAGACGCTCTCGGGAATAACCAGAAAGTATATGCCATTAAGTGGATTCAAATAGTTTCTAATACCATTCAATCCCCATTAAATCCCATTGAAATCTTTATTCAATCCCCAAGAAATCCCCAATAAATCAACAATAAATCCCCAGTAAATCCCCAAGAAATCACCAAAAAAAATTGCAAGAAATCCCATTAGAATCCCTAAGAAATCATCACTAAAAAATCCCCAAGAAATGTTCATTGAAATCACCAATAAATCCTCAAGAAATCACCATTCAAATCCTCAAGAAATCCCCAAGAAATCACCAAGAAAATCACCAAGAAATCACCAAGAAATCACCAAGAAAATCCCCATTGAAATCACCAAGAAATCTCCAAGAAAATCCCCATTAAAATCCCCATTAAAATCCATGATTCTCCTGAACAAAAGAGCTTTCTGCCACCAGGGATCGATCATGCACTTCCTCCTCAGCCTCCTCGACCATCTCCACGCATCGCCGTTTCGCCTCGGCGCCCAGGGCCACATCGAGCCTGCGCCGAGCACCAGCCAAACGTCCAGAGAAATCATATATATATATATATACCATCTCCTAGAAATCTAGAAGGAAAGTCAAGGGTTTCTTGATATGGAACTTTTCGATTGGTTTAGGGGAAATTTAGAGGGAAAATCATGGAAAACCTCAATATCTGATGGGAAAACAAGGGTTTCTTGTAGATTTTCCCTCGAAGCAATCCATTGAACATTCAAACTGTCAATGCAGTCAATAGCCCCCAAGTTTTCTGAATGTCTCAATGCTTTTAAATCACCCAAGTATGACTCTTGAAAATGAAGCGAACATATTTTGGGATTCATGATATGAAGTTCGGATTATTCGATGATCATTGGTATGGTAAACCCAATATAGAACAATCCCGCAATTCTTTCAGGGCTTAAATTACGAAATCCCATCTCAAATGATACAAAATCAAGTGGCCTCATCATTTTGTTTGTGCCAAAAATACAGGTCACAAGATGTCACAAGTATATTACTGTGTATATATATATTATATTATACATATCATATATTATACTTAGTTATATCACACAGTATGTATGATGCATAATATACTGTTATATTAACTAATATAATTAACTGTATAGTATAATATACTGCATAGTTTTTCTCTACTGCATAAAGAAAACTGTTAAAAACTCTTTCCAATTTCCCCTGAAATCGGCTCAAAACCAAGGCTTTCCCCGCCTCTTGGACAAGGGCTGCGCCTGGTTCAGCGGCGCCACCGTGACCGGCGCGCCCGAGGCAGGCGCTGGAGTGGCCACGGAGGGCACGGAGGGCGACCAGGGCGCCTTGTGTTCCATTGCCTGGGGATGGAAACTGTGAAAATCAGGTGAACATGACTATCATCTAGAAATATCTAGAAACATCTAGAAATCTGGATATAGAATGATATAGAAACCAAGCACGGAATTGGCCACATGTTCTGAATTGGGCCTTTACTATGGTTGGTTTCAACTAATTTAAAACATATCAAACCAATGGAAACCAATGGAAGCCAGTGGACATCCAACAGAGTAAAGTGATCAATTGAAAGCAATGTAAATTGAAACTCTTCAAACCCACTGCGGAATTGGCCACATGTTTCCGAATTTGGTTTTTACTCTTGTAGGTATGGTGTCTTACAGTGATCATCAAGGAATCACATTCCGGATCAAGATTACTGTAGCAATAATCATCAATTTTTCTCACACGAATAATCAAATTGATCAAGTTCCCACCAAAAGTTTCAATGGTGGCCCAAAAAAGGTCTCATTGATTCTACATAAACTTCCCATCAACTTGAGAGCCTCAACGGTCAACGGACATCCATCCAACTTGGGAAGCCATTTTTTGGGCCTCCAATCTGCGTTGAAGCCGGTCTTGTTTCTCCAACAAGTCCTGGGACCAGTAGGATATGATGGGCATCTATGGCATAGAATGTTTTTTTTTGTGAGTCGGACAATGTAATACCTATGATTTTTTATATTAATAATAGTATATTTAAAAAAAAAAACAATAAGGATAATAAACATCATAACAATAATAATGAAAAATAATGATAATGATAATGAATATATGATAAAATGATATGAAATGAATTGTGTATATATATATATATGAGAAATTGGTTTGGAAACTGGATACCAAATGGCTGTGAGGTGTCACATACTTTCCCATCCAAAATACTAAAATACCCTCTAGAGTAAACTAATATAGCTACTGTATGGACAATCACAATTTTTAATAGGTAAATCAACTATTCATATGTGCCATGTTCAATAGCAATGTCAAATTACCAGAGGGTATATCCCCAGGTTTCAAATACTGACTCGTCCAATTCGAAATTTGATGATTCCCCGGAAATCGTAGCAGTAGCAATGGAACAAAAAAAACATTTATAGATGGTTTACCGATTTTGAGCATGATTTTCCCAGCTCTAAAACTTGCATTTAGTTCAGGTATTTACCAATATTCCATAACAACATCCCTATGGAATATCCCGATCCCCATGGTGAACCTTAGATACCTGCCAAACAATCTAATTCTTAGCTTATTAGTACATTTGACCATTGAGATCGCAAAAGATTCAAGTACTAAAGTATACTAAAGTGGCTAACCAGGGCTGACCCAGTTTCCATCTATAATTACTTTCCATATGATGTCCCTAGTATACCACCCATTTTTCCCAGCCATCGCTCTGTTACCGGCGCCTGGATCTCTCGTCGAAGCTCTCCCAGTTCTTTCCTCAGCTGCTCCACCGAATCCTCCATGGCAACGACGGACGCGAGGAGAGGTGGCTGACCAATGGTCTCTGAAAATGATGACCTGCAAATTTTGGATCCCACTGGGGTAAGTGGTTTATAATCTGTGTGCTGTACGATATATATATATATATCAAATCATGATGTTATATCATGTTATATAGCTGTTCATAAGCCATATATAGCTGGGAATAATTCCATGTGTAACTGGGTTTTTTCTATGAGCTGAGGAATCTGGTTTCACTCATCCCATAGGAAAGTCATGGAGGATCATCATACCATGACTCTATGGCTGAAAGTAAATATTATATTTGAACCATTAACCATAGAAATGTTATGTTTTTTTTTAATAATCAGCTGGTATATTATATTAAACCATAACACTCAGCTGGTTAATGATTAATATTATATTTGGCTGAGTGTTAGTAGTAACTAATGTTGTATCGTTCCAGTAGTTAAAGAAAAACATATGAAACACGTGCGATGTATTCTAAGAGGGGATATATGATCACCACAAAGAGGAAGAAACAAATTACCCGGAATGATCATGGTCGGAATGGCGTTTAACGTGATTTACCGGTTGCTTCTGAAACATCGGGGGCCTCCGTTTATGAATCAACCAGTCAAAGCCACTCAAAGCACATCACCCCAAACCTTATATTTCCCCCGATTTGATTGGGGATTACTGTACACGTGTATATTACTGTATATCCTTTAAATATTCATTGGATTGAGAAAACTTTGGTAGCCTGGTAGCCTGGTAGCCTTTCCTTTGATACAATCTATCAACTTGAAGTAACGGGTCTTAATTGCCAAAGTTTAAAGGTATCCCGGCTGTGGCTGGATCTGGGCTCCCTCTGCTTCGTGGTTTCAATCTGAGAACAAAGTTCACTGGGAACATCATGCCAAATAGAAATGGAAAACACACATTGATATGTTAAATATGTTCAACCATCAGCCAGCTGCATTGCTTGATACAAATCACCATTTTGAATTCATCAAATCCCTCTTTTTGATCGCAAATACAACTAAATCATCTGGGCATGAGCTTTGGGCCAAAGCTGCGGCGAAAAATCTGCAGCATTCATGAGATCTCAAACGTACCATCAAACGGTGAAGATCAATCTCGAGTTTGAAGCTACATGGATCTCCGTGAGTTCCCAATGTTCCCAAATCTGGGCATCCGCCATTGGGGCCCAGGTTATTTCAAAAATGATCCCAGTATATCCCAGTCATCGAAAAAAACGAGGCAGCCACACACATTTTCAGCCACGAAATCCGTCAACTTCTCGGAACGAACTCTGGGAAGGACAGCCTTGGTGACCGCTGGAGGCCCGGACCTGGAGGTTGTCAGTTGGTCAGTTGGTTTTATTCATCAGGGGATTTTTCTGGGATTTTTTCTGGGATTTTTCTGGGATTTTTCTGGGATTTTTTCTGGGATTTTTCTGGGATTTTTCTGGGATTTTTCTGGGATTTTTCTGGGATTTTTCTGGGATTTTTTCTGGGATTTTTTCTGGGATTTTTCTGGGATTTTTCTGGGATTTTTCTGGGATTTTTCTGGGATTTTTCTGGGATTTTTCTGGGATTAGTGATATGAAATCCATCCGGAGTTGCTTCTTGGTTCGTGAACCTGGAAGAAGCCAACGACTTTTGGGCTTGTTCCATGTTGTTCCCCTAACGTCATGCATACGATGAGGTGGATCAGTGATGATCAAGGGGGTGAACCTGGGGGATGTCACCAACTTGTTGCCTGGTGTTGCTTGCGTCCTGTGTTGTCCGTGTACATCGTTTGTTTTCTTTGTGTCGATCAATGACATGAATATCTTCCAAAAGTTGGCAAACCTCACCTGAAAAAAGACCACCTTCTTCCATTGTAGTACTCAGTACTCCATGTGATGCTCGTGCTGAATGTTTGCAAATTATGAGGCTTTCCTCAGCTATCGGGATATTAGTAGACCACAACTGGGATGAAACATGATCCGCATGGGTCGTCAGTTCATGCTTAGGTTTCACATCCCCAAAAAGGAATACTGTACTGTATATATATATATATAAATCCGCCCACACCGCTTTGGCGGTGAAGGCGTGCTTATTGGGGGGCAAAACAGCAACACTAAATGCTCAATGACATTTGTTAATATAGCAGTCGCTATATCAGCTTTAGCTGGGGGGGGGGGGCCCAAAAACGGTTTCGCACCGAGACCAGAATACGGTGGTGTTTTCGACATTTTTCGAAGATTTTTGGGTGTCTGAGCGCAAGAGGGTATTGAAATGGAATTTTGGGTCATTTTGGTAGCTTTCCGGCAATGGAAAAACGGCCAAAAATGAAAAAAAACATTGTACATAGCAAGATTTTGCAGGGTTTTTGGATGCCAGAGCATTGAAAACACTGCAAAAACAAGTGTTTTGGACTGACGTTATAGCAAAAAACGTGTAAATTACCGTATGCTTGACTGGAAACATTACAAAAACACTGTCAAAAGCAATGTTTTGGAAGGATTTACTGCCTTTATGGCAAAAAACGTGTAAATTACCGTCTGTTTGACTGGAAACATTGGAAAAACACTGTCAAAAACAATGTTTTGGAAGGATTTCTTATATATATGTTGGAGTTGGCTACCGGCATTGGCACATGGAAAAATTGAAGAAAACACTGTAAATAGCGGTATTTTCAACGGTTGGGGAGATAAGGGAATTGGAAGCATTGTCGAACATGATGTTTTCGACCGGTTTTATGGCGACAAAAGTGTAAAGTACCGTGCTTTGAAGGAAACCATTGCAAAAACATGGAAACACATTCAAAGAACACGGGATTTGGGGGACTATCTAGGCGTCGTTGTCTAGCTATTTGAAATTCCGCAGCTTGGAGAGCCTCCAAGGCTTGGGAAGCTGTCACGGCGGGGAAAAGTGAAAATTCCCTAGCTTGGGAAGCCCCCACGGGGGGGAAAAGTGAAAATTCCATAGCTTGGGAAGCTGTCACGGCGGGGAAAAGTGAAAATTCCCTAGCTTGGGAAGCCCCCACGGGGGGGAAAAGTGAAAATTCCCTAGCTTGGGGAGCCCCCACGGGGGGGAAAAGTGAAAATTCCCTAGCTTGGGGAGCCCCACGGGGGGGAAAAGTGAAAATTCCCTAGCTTGGGGAGCCCCCACGGGGGGGGAAAGTTAAAATTCTTAGCTTGGGGAGCCCCCACGGGGGAAAACCACCCTTAGCCCCTCTCACGGACCTAAATAAACCTGCGGTGTGGGCGGCCACCCCACGCGAAGCGGGGTGAATACTGGGATGTTCACCATCTACCACATCTAGGGGTGAACATAAGCTTGCACATACATATCTTTACATCTTTACATCCGATAACCATGGGCAGATTCTGCAACAGTGCACTGGTTACTACTGCTGAGCTGGAAAATCCGCCGTGGGAAAATCCCAAATTTTTCCAGCGAAATAAACCTCCATTCATAAAGGGTTTTTCATGGTTTTCCAGCTTGCCACCTTTGATTTCCCCATAGAAAAGTAATATGGAGGTTTCGTAAAAGGGCTGGGGTACCCGGGTACCCCCAAAAAAATCCAAGTCATTCGACCATTTTAGTCTAGAAACTCTAGAAACCTATGATGACTTGGGGGTACCCCATTTTAGGAAAGCCCCTTTTCTCAATGCATCAAAGCCAGCATCACTCGGCCAGCAACACATAGCCCAGGCCATCTGCCGAGATCTCAGATTCTCTCTGTGGAACTGCCTGGTGGTGGTTTCCATGGAGCTTGGGATCGAAAAAGAAAAAAACCTAACTACGGATAAGATGTTCTTTATCATTTATCAAAGGCTGATGACTATTAATGATATTAATATATATATATATTAATGATCATAATGGCAAATCATGTAGTTCAGGATAAATACTCATGTTTCTACATGAAAAACTGCATTGTCTGTTTCTTTTTCTGTATGTCACGAATAAACACACTAAACAAGCCCAAAATACATCCGCAAAGAAACTAGTACTACCAATCCACTTGGCTGTGACTGAAAATGCTGTATGATCCAGATATATGCCCCCCGAATGATCCTTTTTGGGGGGTAAAATGAGGATGAACCATTCAATCATCAAATTTTGGGGGGTTCCCGGTTCCCCCCATTTTTGTGAACGACAGAGCCATTTGTTCCATCCTGTTTTTGTCACCTGTCTGGTGTACCTGGAATTCTGGAATGTTTGTGATTGGTAGTTGGATTCTGCAAGAACTCAGCAGTTGCTCACTTCACACCACGCAAATCAGAGTATTGAGTACGCCTAGCCTTTCAGTATGAACAAACAACTAGATCCAACTTTGATATCGACAAACAAAATATCTGTTGCCCTTGGCCATTCATTCCAGAATACCACTGGATCAGGTTCGCATCCTTAGCTACAAATACCGATGTTTGCAACTCTGTTGTTGGGTGGCTCATCATTTCTGAAACATCTACGTGTTGGGTGGATGGTATCTCCCATCCAATAACCCAGCAATGGTTGTTATCCCGTTGTATAATGTTAGATCTATTATATATCCAGAATATAATCGTCCATATCCCATTAAGTAGTAGGTATCAAATATCCATTCATATCATCCAACTACTGTACTTTCCACGGTTGAACGGAAGATCTCAATAATGTTATTTCCATATGATGTGATATGAATTAATTAATGAGATATTGACCATTTTGTTACCCCATATTACCCTAATTCATGTTATCCCAATATTCTTAATGAACATATTGCCATGATAGTATCTCAATTATTTACCACTATATCTAATGGACATATTCCCATTGTCCATTCATGTTATCCCATGTGTCATCCCATCAATTATCCCATTGTATCATGTGTTATCCCATTGATTATCCATATTATCCCATTAAATTCTATTAAATTCATGCAGGATGGTGCCCCCCAGCTATAAGTTGGTTTATAAACCCCATTAACTATAGTTATATCTACCATAAACCATAGTTATCCCATTACACTTCCCCATGTTTCCACGGATATTTTGCCATTGGATTCCAACAAAAAACCCGCAACCCACACGGCTTTTGTGCAACCCGCGTCCAGCTGTCGGCACCTGGCTCTCGCTGCGATTGACGGCTGCGAGCTCCTGTGACGGAGAAGCTGTGGCGATGGAGGATCAAAGGCAGAAAGCGATGCGAAAGTCATGGCAAGATTTAATGAGATTTAATGGGATTTAATGGGATATATGATGGTATACCCTCTGGTTATGTCAAAATAACTATTGAACATGACCATAGAAATAGTTATTTTCCCATTAAAAATTGTGATTTTCCATAGCTATGTTAGTTTACTCTAGAGGGTATCCTAGAAATGGAAGTGGTGTTAATGGGAACAAGATGGAACTACATTGTTACATGCAGGAATGTCCATTGCCATGATTAATGACCAGAGACTAGACACAAATATACAGTATATAAACATCATGCACGTATCGTCTATGGTAACAGTGGAAAAGAAACGAATCACATGAGGAAAGGAACTACACAGCATTGTGGCAAATATAACCAACGTGGCATGTAAGCTTGCAAAGCGGAGATCCATGTCTGCATTCACAGAAGAGGGCAAGTCAGTTGGAGCATGCCTCAAATGTCTTACCGTCTCACCCAAGTCTTGCTTGTTAAACTGCTTTTTACGAGACATAAAGAAATCATAAGAAATCAATATTCCCAAATGATCCCACATTTCATGTTTAAACATGACATCAAACAGTGGAAGACAACAGAAACCATCAAACAGCTCCATTCCTCCTCTCCGATAATGCAGAGATGGCTCCGACTGCAAAATTCGGGGGCTGCCTTGAATCTGGACCCCTTGACTTGGCCTACGTAGAATATGCTTTTCTCACCAAGATATGGAGATCCAGGTGGTATTTACACTTGTACATACCCCCTAAGTAAATAAATAAATAAGTAAAAATGTACTGTATATATAATATAATATAATATAATAAAATATAATATAATATAATATGATATAATATAATATAATACAATATAATATAATATAATATAATATAATATGATATAATATAATATAATACAATATAATATGATATAATATAATATAATATAATATAATACAATATAATATAATATCCGCCGACCCCGGCAGACGCAAGGGGGAGTGCGTAAGGGAAAAAGAGTTTATGACACAGCTGCCAGGAAAGAATAATAATAATTCGCTGACGCCGGCCGATGCAAGGGGGAGCGCGTAAGGGAAGAAGAGGTGCTGCACTGCTACTTTTACTACCAGGCAGCAGCAGGCAGCAGCAGGCAGCAAGAACAACAACAACAACAACAACAACAACAACAACAAGAACAACAACAAGAACAACAACAAGAACAACAACAAGAACAACAACAAGAACAACAACAACAACAACAACAACAACAACAAGAACAAGAACAAGAACAAGAACAAGAACAACAACAACAACAACAACAACAACAACAACAACAACAACAACAACAACAACAACAACAAGAACAAGAACAAGAACAAGAACAAGAATAACAACAACAACAACAACAACAACAACAACAACAACAACAACAATGACAATGACCCTTTGCCGGGGGACCCTGTTGGGTCCCCCTCCCACCGGTCACGTACGTCGATTCATTGACTCCGGGGTTTTTGTTTTACCGGTGGGGGGTCCTTCCCGGAGTCTCCTCGAGGTACGTGGGGCTCCTTGGGTTGCCCTTCCCGCCCTGATTTGTTCGTTCGAGGCCGACAACAACAACAACAACAACAACAATGACAATGACCCTTTGCCGGGGGACCCTGTTGGGTCCCCCTCCCACCGGTCACGTACGTCGATTCATTGACTCCGGGGTTTTTGTTTTACCAGTGGGGGGTCCTTCCCGGAGTCTCCTCGAGGTACGTGGGGCTCCTTGGGTTGCCCTTCCCGCCCTGATTTGTTCGTTCGAGGGCGTCTTTGTGGGTGAGCAGCACTTCTTCAGCAGCAGAAGACAAAAGTAGCTAAAATCCTCATGTTCTATTGGTTTCAGAAGCGACCTCTTCAGCAGTAGAAGACAAAAGTAGCTAAAAAATGTGATTTGTGATGATCATTTTCTATGGGTTTCAGAAGCGACGTTAGAGACTTTTTTGGTGCGATTCTCGGCCTAGTTCGTCCTTCAGGGCCATGGTGTTTCCCCGTCCGGGAGGGTGGTGCCTTTGTGGGTGAGCAGCACCTCTTTAGCAGCAGAAGATCACATCATTTTCTATGGGTTTCAGAAGAAGACAAAAGTAGCTAAAATCATCATCATCATCATCACATCATTTTCTATGGGTTTCAGAAGCGACGTTAGAGAGTTTTTTGGTGCGCTTCTCGGACTAGTTCGTCCTTCAGGGCCATGGTGTTTCCCCGTCCGGGAGGGTGGTGTCTTTGTAGGTGAGCAGCACCTCTTCAGCAGCAGAAGACAAAAGTAGCTAAAATCCTCATGTTCTATTGGTTTCAGAAGCGACGTTAGAGACTTTGTCGTGGGTGAGCAGCACCTCTTCAGCAGCAGAAGACAAAAGTAGCTCCAATCATCATTTTCTATGGGTTTCAGAAGCGACGTTAGAGACTTTTTTGGTGCGATTCTCGGTCTAGTTCGTCCTTCAGGCCATGGTGTTTCCCCGTCCGGGAGGGTGGTGCCTTTGTGGGTGAGCAGCACCTCTTTAGCAGCAGAAGATCACATCATTTTCTATGGGTTTCAGAAGAAGACAAAAGTAGCTAAAATCATCATCATCATTTTCTATGGGTTTCAGAAGCGACGAGCACCTCTTTAGCAGCAGAAGACAAAAGTAGCTAAAATCATCATCATCACATCATTTTCTATGGGTTTCAGAAGCGACGTTAGAGAGTTTTTTGGTGCGATTCTTGGATTATTAGTTCGTCCTTCAGGGCCATGGTGTTTCCCCGTCCGGCAGCGCCGATTTTCTGTTCTGTTTATAGGGTTTCAGAAGCGACGTTAGGCACTTTTTTGGTGGGATTCTCGGACTAGTTCGTCCTTCAGGGCCATGGTGTTTCCCCGTCCGGCAGCGCCGATTTTCTGTTCTCTTTCTAGGGTTGCAGAAGCGACGTTGGGCACTTTTTTGGTGGGATTCTCGGACTAGTTAAGTCCTTCAGGGCCATGGTGTTTCCCCGTCCGGCAGCGCCGATTTTCTGTTCTGTTTCTAGGGTTTCAGAAGCGACGTTAGGCACTTTTTTGGTGGGATTCTCGGACTAGTTAAGTCTTTCAGGGCCATGGTGTTTCCCTGTCCGGCAGCGCCGATTTTCAGCGCCGATTTTCTATTCTGTTTCTAGGGTTTCAGAAGCGACGTTAGACACTTTTTTGGTGGGATTCTCGGACTAGTTAAGTCCTTCAGGGCCATGGTGTTTCCCCGTCCGGCAGCGCCGATTTTCTGTTCTGTTTCTAGGGTTTCAGAAGCGACGTTAGGTACTTTTTTGGTGGGATTCTCGGACTAGTTAAGTCCTTCAGGGCCATGGTGTTTCCCCGTCCGGCAGCGCCGATTTTCTGTTCTGTTTCTAGGGTTTCCACCACCACCACCACCACCACCACAACCACAACCACAACCACAACGACGACGACGACGACGACGACCACAACAACAACAACAACAACAACAACAACAACAACAACAACAACAACAACAACAACAACAACAATAGCAACAGCAACAGCAACAGCAACGGCAACAGCAACAGCAACAGCAACAGCAAGAAGAAGAGGAAGAAAAACAACACGAATATGTACAAGTAGACATCTTTTTGTTACCTTGAAACGCTTCATTTAACTTGCCACTCTGCTTGGGGGCACGTGCGGCCGTTTGGATTTTTGTGCTTGCTGCGAATTCTCCCTGATTGTTTGGTGGTTTGGACACAAGTTCCGCACGTTGGGCACGCGTGGACATAGCGCATGGTTGGACGCAGGACTCCGTTCTCGACGCGGAACTGCTTCCCACAAATGTGACGGTGGTTGATATTCCCAAACGCTATCGACGAAGTGACGCCACCATTGCAGCAGGTGAGCTAGCTGATGGGAGATTGAAAAAGCGGAAAAGGTTGGAAAAAAGACATTTTTTCTAGGAATTCAGAAGGGACGTTAGGCAGTTTTTCGGTGCGATTCTAGGGCCTGTTCGTCCTTCCGTGCCTTGCTGTTTTGGTGCCGGGAGCTGCTCTTGCGACTCTTCTGTTAGCAGCAGCAACAGCAGCAGCAGCAGGTGAGCTAGCTGATGGGAGATTCAAAAAGCGGAAAAGGTTGGGAAAAAAAAACATTTTTTCTAGGAATTCAGAAGGGACGTTAGGCAGTTTTTCGGTGCGATTCTAGGGCCTGTTCGTCCTTCCGTGCCTTGCTGTTTTGGTGCCGGGAGCTGCTTTTGCGACTCTTCTGTTAGCAGCAGCAACAGCAGCAGCAGCAGCAGTGAGCTAGCTGATGGGAGATTCAAAAAGCGGAAAAAGTTGGAAAAAAGACATTTTTTCTAGGAATTCAGAAGGGACGTTAGGCAGTTTTTCGGTGCGATTCTAGGGTCCTTCCGTGCCTTGTTGTTTTAGTGCCGGGAGGTGCTCTTGCGACTCTTCTGTTAGCAGCAACAGCAGCAGCAGCAGCAGGTGGGCTGATGGGCTTCTATTGAATGTTGAACAAGCGGAAAAGGTTGGGAAAAAGACATTTTTTCTAGGAAGTCAGAAGGGACGTTAGGCAGTTTTTCGGTGCGATTCTGTGGCTTGTTCGTCCTTCCGTGCCTTGCTGTTTTAGTGCCGGGAGGTGCTCTTGCGACTCTTCTGTTAGCAGCAGCAACAGCAGCAGCAGCAGCAGGTGAGCAGATGGGAGATTGAAAAAGCGGAAAAGGTTGGGAAAAAGACATTTTTTCTAGGAATTCAGAAGGGACGTTAGGCACTTTTTCGATGCGATTCTAGGGCCTGTTCGTCCTTCCGTGCCTTGCTGTTTTGGTGTCGGGAGGTGCTCTTGCTACTCTTCTGTTAGCAGCAGCAACAGCAGCAGCAGCAGCACTGATGGGAGATTGAAAAAACGGAAAAGGTTGGAAAAAAAAATCTAGGCATTCAGAAGGGACGTTAGGCACTTGTTCGGTGCGATTCTAGGGCCTGTTCGTCCTTCCGTGCCTTGCTGTTTTGGTGTCAGGAGGTGCTCTTGCTACTCTTCTGTTAGCAGCAGCAGCAGCAGCAGCAACGGCAGCAGTCGTCTAGTATCTCTCATCCGTTCTCTCCCGTCTTTACTTTATTTCTAGTCGGGTGCCAGAAGTCACGGTAGGCACTTTTTCGATACGAGTCTGTGGCATGTTCGTCATTTCGTGTCTTTCTGTTTTGGTGCAGGAAGGTGCTTTTGGTACTCTTCTGTCAGCAGCAGCAACAAATTCGTCTGTGTCTCTCTCTTTGTCCTTTTGGCTGCTGCTTTTTGGCTCTGTTTCTTATGTTTCTATAGATTTCAGAAAGGATTCTGTGGCTTGTTCGTCCTTCCGTGCTTTTCTGTTTTGCTGTCGGCAGGTGCTTCTTTTGCTATCCTGTCAGGATGTGTTCCATTTTGTTCGACTGCACGTGCGGCCATTGGGTTGCTTATGCTTGATTTGAATTCGCCCTGACTTTATGGTGCTTTGGACAGAAGTTCCACAAGTAGGGCACGCATGCGAATAGTGCTGCGTGGGCAATGTGGGCCGGAGTAGCCCATCATGCACGCGAAATTGTTTCCCACAAATGCGTCGGTGGTTGATGTGTCCGGAAGCAATTGGAGTTGTGACTAAATCATGGCAAAAAGGACACGTGTACACATAAAGCCGCTGCTGTGGTGCTGCTGCGGATGCTTGATTCAAATTTTCTTCGGTTACCGTCTTTTCTTGTGCGACGTGGGGCGTCGTCATCTCATCTGCATCTTTTCTTTCACATGTCGCGGGCTGACCTGTGCGTCTTTGTCGCTGTTGGGCAATTGCTTCCCAAGTCTCGCGCAGCACTTGATCGTGGCGCAATTTTTTCCGAAGCGGTTCCAGTCGGGTTCGGCTGGAGCTGGCAGCATGTTTGCGGAGCTTGCCCTGCACGAGCGCAGCGTGGCACGCATCGTATGTCTGCGTGCCATCTTGTCCAGAAGGCCGTTTTGCAATGAAGGTAGAAAATTGTTGTCGCGACTTCTGTACGTGACAAGATGCACACCTCCATGTGCCCCGGGTTTTCGATTGGCATTGAAGGCATGTTCTTCGCTGTGGTTTTTTTGTTTTCCATGCTACGGCACCGAAATATTCCTTAGTTTGTTTTTTGTTACAAACGAAACATGTCTTGACAGCATCACAGGACAAGCACACCCGGTAAAGGCTCCACCGTGGATTTTGATGCTTGCATGCAAAGTGACAAGCAGCGTGCCACAGGCCGCACTGGGTGCATCGGTAAGGTGTTCCTGCCTCGCGCTTCTGCGCGGTGCATTCTTTGCAGACCCGATAGGTCTCCTGTTTCCACTGCGCTTTGGTGAAGGCGTCTTTGCGTTTCATCTCCCCACACTCGTGGCACGGCCTTTCATCCAAGTACTTCTTGCGCAACGCATCCCAGTCCACCGGCTCCTGCTTCCACACGTCCAGCAGAAGTTGCCGTCCCAGCGGAAGGCCTTCTTGAAAAGGCGCCAGCGGGAACGGTCGGTAGATCAAGATCTTCTGCCGTGTGCGGCAGCGTGTCATCCCAATGTACGCCGCTATTAGTTGCATTGCATTACATTGCCTTACATTGCATTACATTGCAGTACATTGCATGGGATTACATTGCATTGCATTTCATTGCATTGCATTACATTGCATTGCAGTGCAGTACATTGCATTGCACTACATTACATTGCATTGCATTGCATTACATTGCATTCCATTACATTGCATTGCATTGCAGTACATTGCATTGCATTACCTTGCATTGCATTGCATTGCAGTGCATTGCATTTCATTGCATTGAATTGCAGGCTTTCATTTATGGTTTCTTTAGGTCAATTTATGATTTCTTTAGGGTTCATTTTGTGTTTCATGTAGGGGTTTCTGGCAGCAATTCATTCGGGTTTCTTTCGGTTTCACCTACGGTGTTTAAACTTTCATTAGGGTTTTATTTCGAGTTTCTTTTGCGTTTCTGTCGGGTTTCATGTAGAGTTTCATTTAGGGATTCTTTCCGATTTCCTTTCGCATTTAATTTCGAGTGTTATGTGAATTTCTTATCAGAAAATCTTGTCAAGGTTTTCAAACATTCATGTGGGTTTCTTGGGAGTTTCTTTAGAGTTTCATTTCGGATTTCGTTCATGAGGGGTCAAAAAAACACAGGGGAGGTCAAACAAACAAGGTGGGGGATCAAAAAAAACAACGCCCTCGTATACTTCGATAAAATATCATGCACCTGTGCGGCGCAACCATGCACCTGTGCGGCGCAACATTAGCTGTATAATAATAGGGCCAAAAATATTGTGTATATATATATAACTATTATACAGTTACTTAGATCCATGAACACATAAAACCATAAGATCAGAGTATTAACATGCTCAAATGAAAAACCCATTTACACATGAAAATTCAAACCTATCAAATATATTTCACAACGATGTACATAGCAAAAAGGTCGAGCTGCCAGCTTTGCTTCCTTGCCACTTCTTCCGGGGTCGGCGGCAGGGGCGGCAGCCCTTAAATAATATAATATAATATGATATAATATAATATAATACAATATAATATAATATAATATGATATGATATAATATAATATGATATGATACAATATAATATAATATAATATCATATAATATCATATAATATCATATAATATCATATATAAATAATATCCTATAATATAATATAATATATACAAATCTATGTGATATAAGTTACTATAAATACCTCTATCGTATACTATGTGTATTTTTCCCATTAGTGGATACCCGGGCCCCGTTGGCGCGTCACCGCGGCCCTTTTTTCGTCGCCTTGGCGGAAGGACCTTCAAGACCTGACTCAACGGAGCAACGAACGAATGAACCCCACGGCGCCACGGTACAAGGTGGTGCCCCATAGTTAGCTAAGTTGGTGCAAATAACTCCCATTTCACTATGGTTTATGGTAGATATAACTATAGTATTCATGGGGTTTATAAACCAACTTATAACTGGGGGGCACCATCCTGTTGGTTTAAGGATGTTTAAGGGAAAATCATCGAAAATCTGCAGAGAAACAGGTTATATAACTTGTTTGCATTTTGTTTAAAAGGGATAGTCGAAAAAGCAACACCATGGGTTTTTGATGGTTTTTGGCTATGAAAGATAGGGGCCCTCGGTGCAACATGTTCCATCCGTGCTTCTCTGGGACGTGGAGCTTTGTTCCGCCGCGTCGTTCAGTAGCCAATCCTCCAGAGGAGACATGGTCACCTGCGGCCATCAAAAAGACATGGTCTACAGCTACTGTAGGTGGGAGAAGGCAACTTTGCCTCGTATCAATTCCATTCAATTCCTGAGAATGAAGTCATTGTGGACTGGCTCAAAACTTGGCAAAGGATGTGGCACTACTAGTGGACATCAAGAATAAACCATTTCAGGGTTGCACTTGTTGTAATTTCAGCTGCACTTAGCTCCGTCCATTTCGACCTGGTTACCATGATCTTGTGCCACACGGAAGGTTGAGGCGAGTGGTGGTTCCATTTTTGCTGGGGATGTTCTGACCAGGGTCCTACCCATTTTTGTCACTTCAGGAATCATCTTGATACACCATCATGTTTTTTCAGAGATCAGCCTGCCATTTTACGCAAATCTCCGAGCCTGCAAATAAATGGCACTCAAGGCCTTCATGTTGGCCTGCCTCCATTTACCTCAGCAATGGAACACCAAAAAAAACACTGAAGCAGTTGCCCTCTGTGAAATACTCCAAAAAAAAGACCTATTGATGCAGGATGGTGCCCCCCAGTTATAAGTTGGTTTATAAACCCCATTAACTATAGTTATATCTACCATAAACCATAGTTATGGGAGTTATAAGCCAACTTAGCTAACTATGGGGCACCACCTTGTGCCAATACTGTATATTACCAGTTGCAATTATTGAAGACATATAAACACCAAACACAATACTACACACAAGATATTACCAACATTTTTTGTGACGCACCCAAAGAATTGGTGAATTCAACAGCATCCTCAGCACTAAGTCCCTTCTCAGAACTATCAGCGTCTGGTTTCTGTGGAATGTTGATGCCTCCAGCAGGATGAAACCATCCTAAATACAGCGCATAAATATGATACACGTGCTGGATTAGCTGCACCCCCTACATCAGCCTACATGAATTCAATCTTGAGAACCTGGAAAATTGGCTTGGAGAGAGTGCCAGCTACAGTATCTGATTTACCAGATTTTCATGAGCGTCCCAAGCCCTTTTTTCAGGAAACGCCCCTACGACTTTCGCACTGCCGACGTTTCCCAAAACCGCGCCGAGAGTCGTGGCAGGTATCGCACCTGGAGTCGCCCCATTTTTTGGGATTGGAGCCAGTATCATTGGGCGTTTCTTAAAACGGGGGGATCCCCCATTATGAAGATGATAGTTAATCATGGAAAATCCATGGAAAATCCCATCTATAAATGGATTAACCATGGAAAATCCCATCTATAAATGGATTAATCATGGAAAATCCCATCCGTAAATGGATGATTTTACTGGGGGTCTCATTTTTCCGGAAACCTCCATATTCAAATCATTCAGAAATTTGAGATGCTTAAATGGATGTGGGTCAAAATGGAAGACCTAGGGGACCACAGATGTTAGTCTAGTTTAGTATTAACCATCCAATTATTGGGGTACCTAGTTTTGACCCATACCCAAATAGTAGATGACCACTCTGGTGGGTCCATTGGTACCCCAATTTCTAAACCCAAACATCAAAGCAGCAGCACTGAGCTCCGTCTCTGGCGCCTGCTTCTTCAGCAGTTTCAGCACCAGCCGTTGCGCACGGGGGCTTTCAACCCGATTGAGGCCTTGGTGATTCGGTGCCTTCGATCAATTGCGGAAGGTAGTCAAGAAGGATGTCAGTCTGAGACTCGGACATTGATATCTCCTGAATTATCTTGAATTATATTGAATTGAATTGAAATATGGGTGTGTCTGAAAATAGTGTACCCCTAAACCCAATGGTTAATGATCATTATCCCTATTAAATGGCTATAATTGAGGGTATACCCCATTTTCAGACAAACCCAAATCTCAAAAGTAAATCTGACCTGATCTGGCCTGACTAGCAGCCTATTCTCCCTGACACTTCTACCATATTGCTGCCGCGTTGTTCTAGGCGTCCAGGCGCTTCAAAATAAATGGCGCGCGGTAGTGGATCAGATACTTCCGCACCCGCTCAGGGCCTCGGCCAGGTTGTGGGTTGCAACCATCCTGGAGCGTTGATAGATAGAGATTTTAACATCTTGGACTAACTCCAGTAGGGATTTTCATGGATTTTCCTGATCCAAGAATTGAAATTGTTGAATTTGGGGGAACCATTTACTCCAGAATGATTCTTTCAGATGCCACTCTGCTCTTGATCGCCTCAAAACAGCATCTGAGAGTCCGAACAATCTCGACAAACCAAATACAACACTTCCACCAGCCTTAAGGTGCCACATGCCTCGATACAGGATCTTCCAAGTGGTGATTTCTGCACCATGATGATGTTGGAATGCCGATGTTTGTGGCTGTTGATCCTCTTGTGGTACATCTTATGATTGTTTGGTGGCACAGCGTCTGCGCTGGCCTCAAGATAAATAGGAATTTCTCTGTGGTTCCCAAGTGCGTTTTCTGCAAAGAGGTTGGCTTCCCTTTTCCGTCGATTTTGGGAATCACTACAGCAGTCTACCAGAAATCAACTGCTTCAAAAGTCATTAACGACAAAACTCCCAAGACCTTGCTGGGACTTACCTCGCCTGCCAGAAACAAGCAGACAGCGGCAAGCGTTTTCCTGAAATGGAGGCGAGCGGTGCATAAGGTGGCAGCACCAAAGCACTCATAAATCTAATTGGTTTGAAGTTATTAAAATCAATCAACATGTATTTTTCTGGCATCAGCATATCATCCGCACAAAGAAAACCTAGTATCACCCAAAAAAATCAACCACAACCACAACCATATGACAAACCAAAACATGTGCCATGCAAAACTCATCGCAGGTTGGATTGACTTCCAATCCGCCCTGACCGGGTGCCTGCTGCCACGGCAGCTTGCAAACATGGCAAAACCTCGAGGTTCTTGATTCATCAGCTGACGATGGAATTCTAAATGGTGATTCTCAAAATGATGCCCACACATATTCCAGCAAATATTTGAATATACTATATAATTATAATTATATATATATACTGTATAGATATCAATGATTGTTAATATATATATATATATATGATCTATATTATTGTATATAATATCCTATACCCTTTGGTTATTTAACATAGCCATGGAACATGACCCATAGAAATAGATGGTTTACCTATTAAAAATGGTGGATCTTTCCATGGCTATGTTAAATAACCAAATGATAATATTCTTAGAACAAGGTAGTTATTAGATATTATTAGCATAGTGTATAATACCCCCTATTCACAACTATTAACCACTATAAATATATCTGGGTAAATGAAATAATATTTCACTAACCTGAATAGTTCGGCCATTTGGGGATGATTTCCCTGAAATAAACCATGATTCCAGGGTTCGGTCGCAGTGAGGTCGTTATAATTTACCCAGCTGAAATGGATTGATTCGCCTCACATGACCAACCAGGTAACCAGGTCCCCGGACTGGGGGAATGGCTTGCTCCGCGCTCATGTCCTGGCAGAGGCTGCAGAGGAGTCACGTGGGATACGTTTTGACAAGAATAACAAGCATAATTCTAACGGATCAACATCAGTTCGATGGATTGTATTCTAAGATATCTATATAAATTATATAATGGGTGTTAATGGGTTTTTATATGTGTTCATCAATAATTGCCTGATTAGACTTCGGATTGTATGTACCTGGCTGCTACAAGAACAAGCTGAACAAGCTGAAAGAAGGTCAATGTGGGGTGGATTCCCTCGACCCGCTAGGATCGTACCGGGATCGCGTTAAAGGTGGAAACCCAAAGAAACGACTCCAAATTGGTGGTCTACCCTCCGGTCAAACATGGCATGCTGGAAAATACACAAAAATTAGTTCGGTGATTTTCCTATTGAAAGCCGCATTTCTAGTGCATTTCCCAGCTTGCCACGTTTGATGACACCGGAGGGTACATCGATTTTTGTTGGCGGGTTCCCTCTCCGCCTGGTTCAGATACTTCAGGACCACCAGGGCACCTGAGTCAGGAAATCCAGTTCCACCCGGTCACCGACAAGTCTTTGTGGTGCTTGGTGGTTGGTTGATTTCGGGTTTAATTCTACAGTTACATGTGTACATATATAATTATATATATACACATACATATGTATATATACAGTATACATACATATGCATATAATTACACATTGTGTACAAATACTTGTTATGAGCGGGTCAAGAAAAAAAGGCAACATACACAGATTGGAACCAATGCGAATTTCTCATTCTTCAACGCGCTGAAGCCCGAGGTACCAAGCAAATTTAAAAGTCCCCCCAAAACAGTTGCAATCCAGAAAATACATCTGCTATATTCAAGTCAAAGAAAATCATGTGTCCCAAAAATTCCTTGCGACAATTCAAGTATGGCTCCGCAAAGATCAACATCTTCGCTGAAAAGCGCAGTTTAAATCACAGACTTCTTAAACCAATGGTGGGTGATGATAAGTAAAGATACACTCTTTGACACTATACATCAGATGTATATATATATATAACTATATATATATAACTATATGTATATATATATAACTATATGTATATATATATATAACTATATGTATATATATATAACTATATATATAACTATATATATAACTATATATATAACTATATATGTATATATATAACTATATGTATATATATAACTATATATATGTGACTATATGTATATAACATAACTATTATATATATATATATTATATTATGTAACTATATATATATGTATTCATGTGTGCATCGGGTTGGGATAGGCTGGGTGGATGTCCCAGCAACATCCCACAACGCTTCCACGCAAAAACAACCCAGCGGCCGTTGGATTCGGCCACCAGCTGCGAGAGAAAGGCGAAGTCCTCGGAGGAATAGCGCCGGGCCGACTTCAGCAAGATCAGGATCACCCCTGGCGATGCTGGGTTTGATGCGATGCTGGGTTTGGGGGGTTCCAAATGCCAGAATTTGGAGAAAAAAATGGTCAACATGTTCTGAAATCATGCTGTAAAATACAGACCTAACCATGGTTTATTTCATGCTGTATTTAAGATCAACTAAGTGTGTCAGCTCTACAAAAGGCTGAGTTCTAGTGGCTGAGCTGCAGAATGCGCTGTGTGGGTGTGAATGCAGGCAATGAGGGACCCACAAGCAGCCAAAGATGGTGTTGACTTGAAGTTGTATCTGCATTGTTTGGCTTAAAATAAAGGGATACACCACGATTGTGTGAACTGACATTAATAGGTGCTAAACTTTTACCCTCTGGTAATTTAACATAGCTATGGAAAATCACAATTTTTAATGGAAAAATCCACTATAAATGGCCATTTTCAATAGCTATGTTAGTTTACCAGAGGGTCCAGAGGGTAATAGGGATTCATTCTTTGGCGATGAACAAGAAGATGAACAACCCGTCATACTGACCAGCAGTGCATGCTTTTCGGACCTGCGACAGCCGACGCCAGGATCTCCCGGTGTCTCTGGGCCTGCAGCTGGTGATATGTTGCAGGTGGTTTCCCATCATATGTCCATCATATACTATTACTTGTTGGTCAATCACATTCATCTATATAATATATATATATATCTTACAATACTTGTTGGTTGAATCACTTAAACCTTGTTTTGTTGGTGGAGTCAGTCAAACCACTTTGTTTGCATGTGCTACCATGTCACTTGGCTCAAGAATGGAATAAACCCACGCAGTTGTCATGTTTGCAATTTTGTATGTGTCCTCGTGTTTCCCAGTATTCAACCATCCAATTTCTTTGAGAAAATGATTCAGCCTATTAGCTTTCATGTTGTTGGGAAACTCTTAGTAGCTCCAAACGGCTCCCCATTTAGATACGGGGATGCAGGATACTCCAACGGCTCTAAAAAAGGCTCCCAAAAAATTCGTGGACAGATGTGGACAGTTACCCTCTGGTAATTTGTTACATATCTATTGAACATGGCCATAGAAATAGTTGATTTTCCCATTAAAATGGTGGATCTTTCATCTTTCCTTAGTTTTTTGTTAACGTTTACCAGAGGGTATACCATCATATAATATCATAGATCCTAATAAATCCCATGAAATCCCATGAAAATCCCATGAAATCCCATGAAAATCCATGTTTTTTTCCCCATTCATCGTATTAATATCGCCGAGATATCCATAGTTCAGGAAGCCCCCTCCATTCACCGACGAGATCCAGCAACGACATGTCGGTGTACCTCCACTTCGGCCATGGGATCGTTGCTCACCTGGGCAAGGTGTGGCATGCTTCGGCCCTGGTTTAAACCCCATTGAGGAAAAATATGATTAGATATCTATATATTAGATGTATATACAATTTTTAAAAAATGATATAGTATATATAATATCTAATAATATCTAATATATAACATATAATATATAATATGTTATATATAATATGTAATATATAATAGAGAATACATAGATATACATTATACAGTCGATTGGGGATCATCATGCCAACAAAAATAAAAAATCAAGACATGAGAAGATAGGATTTGAAACCACCAAACAGCTCTAGGATCATAAATCATAATACCGGTTTGTATCATTTTGTATCTATGCAGCAAAACTAGCAGAGGCCCACTGTTGCGGTAATAGGACATATATTAAATACATGTTTGCTCGTAGCTCGTAGAGAAATCCTCTACTGTTCTTAGGATTATTCCAACAGGCCATCTACTTTAGCTGCAACTTGATGGCTATCTCAAAGCAGGTCTCCGGCCCTTTAAGAGTTAGTTAGTGCACAAACTAAGTCGGTCATGAAACATGACATGTGAAACAGTTTCCAACTTTCAACTTGTGTATGTACGTAGGTTTTCAATGGTTTTCAGAAATTTCTTTTCAGGGACTTGTTGTCGTTTTCCAGTGTTTGTTGATCCACAAAAAAGTCCCGCAACGGGTCGACATGCATGCTGGGTGAATCACTTACTGTCTATGATCTTATATGTATCCCCATGTTCATTCCTTGGCCTTACACGTCCATTGATGTTAAAAAAAATCTATGGCTTCGTACTCTTCAGTTGAAGTCCACATTTTCAGGATGTTCAGCTTGATATTTTTAGTCGAATCAGCTACCGTAAATGTCAATGGATCAAAAATTATAAACTGATTCAGGATCCGGTCCCCTATTTTTTGAGACGTTGGTACAACTTTAATGGATCCCCCTGGAATCACCACTTCACCTCCCCTGCAACCAGCGCATGGTCGTTCGGCCTCTGTATGGTCCGCCACCTTTCGCTCGCGCGCAAAGTCCACGACGCCCGAGTAGGTGTCCACATTCGAACCTGGCCACAATGCATGCCGGCATCAGACTTTTTAAAAGTCCCTACTTGCATCTGGGCAAAATTCCTTGTATATTTATATGTATACACAATGTGGGTTTGTATATTACGTTTTGCAGTGTAATGCAGTGTAATGCGGTATACCTATTGTAGACTATTGTAAATAATTTGTAAATACGGTACTTCACAAACCAGAAACGATATTATTGACGACTAGGGTTGTCCCACTTGTAGTTGTGTCGATCATGCAAGTAGGGGCTTTGCCCTGCCCAGTATCCAGAATTTGTTGGCTTGTTAAACCAAAATGAGTCTTTTTAGCAGCAAAGCGAGGATATGTCTCAACCATAATCAACCAAAGCAGATGAATTCATATTTTGCTGGTGTTTTAAACCCTTCCTCGAAAGCAGGAAACACCATATGAGTCTGTACTAGACTGTAGTATTCCTTGCCATGAAGATTTGGTATACTGAATTCGTCTACAGGCAGCCAGCAAACCATCTCTCAGAATGTTGACAATCGCACATTTTGCAGCACCCAACACAGCGAAAAATTGATTTGATGGCATGTTGTCCACAGGTTGCTTGTCAGTGGAATATCGATAGTGGTTTTTAATTTTAAAATGAGTTGAATGCCTGCATCAGAACTGATGGTGATGTAGAATATATACGAGCTGCGAACCATATTTGTTACATAACGCAATTGACCGGGTGTTCCTACCTCGTTCTCCAGTCCCGTAACGTTTTTGCCTACCTCGTTGTCGGGGTGTTCCTACCTCGTTTTACAAGCTAAATATGATGTTTTTGACAAACCGGGGTACGCCCGAATACTACTTTCCATATACGCAAATAAGAGCCGTCGCTCATATGGGGGCTGGAGCAACATCAGTCAGAAATCCATCTATCTCGGCTCACAAACTGCTCTGGATTTGTTTCAATGATTCCAATGCGAGCATGAGAAACTAGATTTGACACATTTTTCTGTTGGAAACGTCTGTGACAAGAATCGCATAACCAACAGATTTACTTAAATGTAGCGGTTTGCTTGATCGTTATTCATACCCTCTGGTAAACTAACATAACTATGGAAAATCACCATTTTTAATGGGAAAATCCACTATAAATTGCCATTTTCAATAGCTATGTTAAATTACCAGAGGGTAATCCACCAAACAAAACCCTACATTCACAACCCTGCGCCCTGGGCTGCTAGGTGCCCTAACAGGAGGTCAGCAACAGCCGCAGCAGCAACACGACCAGCTCGGTGAGCCGCGGGAACATGGAACGGTAAAGCCTGGTTCCAAATAGCAATGGCGCTTGAAGGCAAGAAACGTGTGCAAAAATAAATAAGGGGTAAAGATTGTTTGTTCAACAAAGAAACATGAGAAATTGTAAATTGATAATATGAGAATAGGATATGATATAGTGATGTAATATGACAAAGTGATCATATGATTGCGTATAGTGATGTTTTTTTTGTGTACGAAAACATACGAACTTCGTACCCCAATCAAAAAAAAACATCCCAATTTCCACCAGCAAATTGCTGGTCATCTGAGCAGTTCTCTCCAATGGCTATTTCCCAAAGTCATCTGGTTGGTGGTTGACCTACCCCTCTTAAAAATAAGAAAGTTAGTTGGGAGTTGGGATGATTATTCCCAATATATGGAAAAATGAAATTGATGTTCCAAACATTTCCAAACCACCAACCAGAATGGTTATTTCCCAAAGTCATCAATACCGCCAATAAAGTCAAGATACCAACATGCTAGGGGATGTCGATGTCGGGTATTCGGTTTCCCGGATGAATATATGGAAGGTCCGCCAAATCCCTCAAGCCTTTGGTCCATCCAACAATTGAACATAAAATGAAATATATATATATATGTGTTTTACGATGTTTTACGGGTCCTAGTGTCAGAAATTTGTGATTTCTGATTTTTTAATATGTTAAACACATCTTAAGACATTTTGTAAGGTATGTGCCTCAAAATCCCCGGTCAGACAGCAGGATCCTTACCAAACCGCTCGCCTCTGCCAGATAGCAGCAAGATTCTCAGCCTCAGGACCTCCGGATTCACCTTGGAGCCAGCATCACAAGTTGATGTCTGGTTGGTGGTATACCTACCCCTCTGAAAAATATGAGTTCGTCAAATGGGATTATTGTTCCCAATATACAGAAAAAAAAAAATGTTCCAAACCACCAATCAGCATAGTAATGTTTGGGGAATCCAATGGTCCCAAAGTAGAATGGAGAGCTGGTTGGTGGTTTCAATCCCTCCGAAAAATAAGAAAGTTAATTGGGATGATGACATTCCCAATAATTATATGGAAAAATGATGAAATGTTCTAAGCCACCAACCAGAGAATGTGGTTTCCTTTGCACCATCATTTGATTTTTGGCACCATTGGTTTTGGCACCTCCTGAAGCATAATCCAAGTCATTACAGAACTATGGCTCCTGCCTGCTGGCATCGCTGCTGGAGGTTCCTGGTTCGGGGGCGCCAATCCTCCCTGCTGCTTCCGCAAGAACAATGACTGGTGCATTCATCAGCTGGGCCGGACATATCAATTTGCATTCATGGCCACACACGACAAATGCCAAATTTCTGACCGGCAACATTCCCGCAACTTAGGATGTAATATGTAATCATGTGCAGCCACCTATTTTCATTTTTTTTCCTCGCTTTTTGCGTAACGCTGTCGTCTTAGCGCAAATCACCACTGTTGGTGACATTCCTTCACGAATGTCCGCAAATTCAAGGAAAACTGTCATTCCATCCGAGCCGATTTTATCGACTCCTCGCATGAAACCAGGATCAAATCTACCTCACTGAACAGGAATATAGGGGGATATCCCAAAATAATGTGCACTAGTGATCTCAGATATGATTGTCCTTGGAAAATGGCCTTTCTCAACAAACCATGCAGATGATAGATAGTTTAAAGACGTCTGTTGAAAGTTTAAAGACATTTTGGGTATCCCCAGAATCATTGAACCCCATTCCGGGGCGTTGTCCAATATCAGAGGTACGGATGGCACCTTTCAGTCTGCAACTTTTGTTGAGCCACCTAAGATGGCAAAATGTCACGTTGCCCAGACATGAATGTCTTGACAAGCGACCTGTATGTCGATATGCATGCCCTACTGATGCTGCCATCCGGCCCAGGGATTCGAAGACCACTCTGGATCTGCCTCACTTTGAAGAGTCAAGGTCTCCTCCTCCCAATCCCACCCAGCTTGTTTTTTCTTCAGCTTCTCGCAGAGTTCTGAAAGAGAAAAGGTTCTCTCATTTTCAAAGGAAGAGCCAGCTTGCTCGCGCCGCATTGCAAGGTTCTTGAGACCCTTAATGGCAGCATCGGCGTTGTTGAATGCGATGACACCTCGATGGTGGCTTCTGCCCTCGCGGCTTCTGATGCTCCAACCTGATTACATTTTAAGGGGCCGTGCTTACATTCATTTGAAGCCAGGCAAAGTTTGCATAATCATACATAAAACTCAATAAAACTACCATGCGTATCCATGCGTATTCTACCTCTACTCTGGGCTTGAGCACGGGGCGACTGCCTCTCCGACCATGACTTTCCAACACATTCATATGGGCAAAAATACATCAAAAACAACATGAAATTATATACATAAAATTAATCTGTAATCTTCTCAAGACATCTCAAGACAATGCACCTGGGCCTCCATCGTCGCCGTGATTGAACCACGATCGAAACTTTTCATAGTACATGTAGTAAGAGTGAGAATGCACCCTGCACGGCCTTGGCTGGCACTTGAATTTCCCAACTCGTGCAGGAACAGTGCACTTTGTTTGTGCAATCGTTCATAGATGTGCAAAACCTCTCCGTGCTTCTTTGAGCTACATTCCACTTGGCCACTTGGCCAAGTTCGCAGTTGCCAATCTTTCATTTTCTAATCTCACGCCCAATGCAGCTCACTAAAAAAGGAGAACCTATCAAAAAGGAATTACATCAAAGTTTCAAGCCAAGAAGCACCATGATGCATGTCTCCAGTCTGCAAGACTGAAGTGCTCGGAGAGCCAGTAATCTTCGATTGTTTCGAGACCTGATCCCTTTCTTGTCATCCAAACTCTGTGGCAGCTTGACACATAACGGCTCCACTTCGTGTGGGCGGACTCTATTCCGAAACATCTGGTCAAACAGCTTCAAGATATTCTCTTGGTTATTCTCATGTGAATCTCCAAATGCTAAAGAGGCATTGACATTGGCATGCGTAAATCGCAGTGCCAAGATTGGTATCTCCACTTGTGTTGGCTGCCAGTAATCAGCCGCGAGGAGTTTTGGCAGTTCCGTCCTCAGCCACTCCGCCGTCTGAACAAAGGCTGGGGCGGAAGCTTCAAATGAAGCCAGCCGCTCACGCAGTGCTGCATTCTCAGCCTTCAACTGCTGCAGCGGTCTGTGCGCATCCTGCGGCAAAGATTACAGAAACCATCAGGACTCATCGCTGCTCACAACTGACAACCATCACAGTTCGGAGTTCCAAGAACTTGACTCGGTGGCTGATAATGGTGGCAGGTGGGCTCAAAGCCGGCTAAGAGATACCATGCAGTAGGAACGTATAGAACAGCAATGTTGTCAAACCACCGACCACTACAATAAAGGAGGTATGGGCAGTCCACGCGGTATTCTTTCCAACACATGTTCCCCAAGACTGCCAAGAAATGTCTATATACGAATAACTTATTTCAAAGAACCAACGATTTGCCACAGGGGCGATGGATACAGTACAAGCTTGACAGAATGTGGAGCATCTTCTCTGAGGTCACTGAAAGTTCGGTGATGGTTTCCAGTTTCGATCCAAAATTCAGCTGAATGACTCTATCTACAGGCCTCGGCAGTAGGATCTGGCGGCGTAGGATCCGCCGGCTCTGCAGTGTTGGATCCATGGCCTTGATATGACCCCCCGTTGAGAAACGTGTCCGCCTCGAATCCTCCAGGAAAACCTCCAGGAAATTCCTTCAGGAGAATTAGCAGGTCTTGAAGCTGCGCATCAGAAGCGTAGCAACCACACTCTGACTGGTCCTGGCAACCATCGGCCATGGTTCATCCCTTTCGGGGTTTCTTCCGTGAAGGGCAAAACGTCATGGACATCTGTCTTGAAATACAAGTAGGCGCTGGAATGACCAACACCTTCTGAGACTGTCGGCTGGCCAACCTTTGTCCCTTGGAATTCCGCGTCCTTGATCTTGCACAACCTTTTGAATATGCCATGATTATTGCAGTAATTATGAAGTGAATGTACTGTTATGCAAAACATATACATTGATAGAATACATATAATATATTGAATTACATCATATTATAATATATTATATATGTATGACTGCAGTTGCACATTATTCGGTATACAGTGGTTTGTTTGTTATCCCGTCAATCCTAAGAAGGCATGTTCTTCCGCCTCTTTGTGTACTACCTCACAAAATCATGCAATTTGGGGTCGGATTTGGCCCAAGCGTCGTTGACCAATTGCTCAAATCGTCTGAAGTTGATCTCGCCACCACCTGTTTTCGTTCACGACGAAGCAACGTAGCAGGCACTAAGGGGGACCATCTGGGGTTCACCTTTGATGGAACAAAAATTGATTGTGCATGGATGTTCAGGGTTGCTAAGCGTCAAATAGAAGTTTTGGGATCAGCGACGAGGTTGGTCACTTTTGGTCATGTTTCTTAACTGAGATTAAATCACCCTGGAGCAGAACAGTGTCTCGCGTTGTCAACAGACAGTGCATTGCTGCATTGTACTGCTATATATACACACTGTGTCCATGCCTAATACAACTAAACACCAACTTTCTACCACGTTGCTCTGTCAGCTGCAGCATAGGCGCATTGTTGTCTCAGTGCGTGGAACTCTTCCTTCCAGTCCGACTCTGTGCCCTCAAAACCTCACTTGGACATGCCGTGCTATCATTCTAAGGTGTGAGAGTGTGTACCAACAAATCAATAAATCCAAAATCTATGACTTTCCCGCTGCAGCACGCGCAGGCACATGAAAAGCGTACGTACAAGCTAAAGTGTCCGAAGTCTACTTTTATCTATTTTTAATAGAGGAGATTTCTCTGCAGGAATGTTCAACAAGAGAAAACAAGAGACATCCTCGTCCGAGCCACCTGTCAGCTCTGCAAACGGTTTTAAGTCACTTTCACCCAGAAAGCCCTTAGCGCCGCGGTCCATTTCAATGAAGGCCAGGAAAATCAATTCAGCGCGTGAATACTGGTCTTCGGTTTGGCCGTTGGCCTAAGTCATTTTGAGAAGCTGCACCACAGACTTGCAGCGCATGTCCACTGGTTTGCCAGGTTTCATACTAAGATCTCGACAGCAATGCAGATACAGAGTCAAGATTTGTTTTTTTTGTTTCCCGCAACGTTTGCACATGCAATCTAAAATCATTAAAATATGGGAAAATGGGATGCCCTGAGTTAGGTCGGCTCACTGGCTGCGGATATGAGGACTTGATGCAAGCTAAAGGCACTGCCTTGGAATGTTGTGATGGCTCGAAGTGTTGCATTCCTGCAGCATCAACTAGGCGGAAGGCGGGCATGGGAACCATCCCATTCTGGGATACCTGGCTTTTGACCACCCATATGGTGACGTCATCTGAATTGAAATCCTTAGCAAACAAGTATTCGAGATCGCATATTTCTGATGAGTGTGGAGGCAAAATACCAAATATGTTGCTTTTTCTGGCCCAAGTAGTTTGGAGATTTGGAAGATCTTATTATTTCTTATTCAGCAGTGGCAACTGGCATCTGTGGGGCGTTTGGACCAAGCTGCTTTCGCCCCGAAAATTAGGATGCAGATCCAGATCGTCATCAGAGGACAAGTAGCCACCATAGTCTGCCAGGGGACAATCCTCGGCAGTTTTCGTAAGCACCGACGAAAAATACACCTGACTACCACAAAACGAAACAGCACGGCAAAACCCTCAAAATCCAATCCAACTGTTTGGCACCGACATTCACAAAACATGATTCCTCCCAGTTTGTGATGACTGGATACTGCACGCAACGAAAGTAACCCAACAAGGCGGCAAGGTGCGGACGCGAGCTCAGCATCAGAAGACTGTAGCCACGGATGCAGCCACGGATGCTCACTAGGCTCCTCCTGCTCCTCCTCGGGCTTTAGGTGCAAGCCCTGGTGGAATAACCTCTGAGCCTCGGAAAAGGACAAAGAACCTCCACGGTTCCGTGCAAAAGCGAGGAGCTGCTGCACGGTGTCGGGCGCAGCTGCATACTCTTGACGGTACTTCTGAAGCCATTCCATTGCGGACGGCTGTGGAATTGCGTTGCGATTAAGTTCCTGTTCTAGATGTGAAGTGCTCTCTGGATACAGCAATTGACATGACAATTCATTGCATCAGGGGCCTGATCTTTGCAGGGACGGAAGTGTTCGCTTCTTCCTGTGGGGGATTGTTTCACGGCACACTCCTTTCTGCATCAATCTGCTTTTCAGGCCCCTCTGTGCTTGTGGTACAGGACGGAGCAAGATTGTAAGTGTATGTAAAAGATTGGAACCGCTAAGTGTAAACAGACTGAGGTTTGCCTGACCACAGGTCACATCGGTGTAGCTCCGTCTTCAAGCCTCTAATCGGCCAAACCATCCCAGACCAGCAATTGCTGAGAACCAAGAAGCGGACAATTGCTCCACGTTGCCGAATCTGTGGCAGCATCCCATCACCCGAAATCCCCAGTGAAACAAGTAACATGCAGCCACATGATGGAGAAACTAGCCCTAAATATCACTTGTACTGTGACATGAATGTGAGCAGGACACTGAGCGGCCAAATCTATAATCATCATTACCCCATTCTTGCCTCAATGGTAGGAGCCCGTTGGCACCAAAGGATAGAAATTGACCCAAGCTGAGTCTGGGCCATCCTCTGTCTAGCTTCCCTCCTTTCTGTTTAGCAGCTCGCTATCCAGCCAAGTGAGGGGCCACAAGTTATTATAGCCATGGAATCCACAGCAGGATTGGGCGCCAAAAGGCCACGACCATGACTCTTGGTTACCCAAGAATTGTATGGACTTGTAGATATCCTAGTCATTTCCAATGACAAAAACTGAGTCCAGCCAAGAGAATACACAACCAAGCAATCAGCCCCAACTGTGCGGCTTTTCTCATTTTTGTGCTGTTTCCAGTCGCAACGCCGGCTTCACGCAGTTCATCACCATTGGTGACGTGTCCAGATAATATCTATACGAGCCACTTTGGTTGACCCGTCGCATGAAACCAAGATGGATAGAATGAGGAGATATCCCAAAACTGAAACAGTGGGCACAATCTGTTTCTCAAACTTGGGTCTCCACAAGTATCTGGTTATCCTCAACAAGCCATCCATGAACTAGGCCCCCAAACGATTGCTTGCAGCCAAGGATTTCGACCTTTCTTGAATCGATTGAGATGGCAAAATGCCACATCCTTGAGTTATATGGGTGTGCTGAAAATTGGGTATACCATGGTGTACCCCCCAAATGTTGGTTGTTTAATTAAGAACATGATGGTTAAGCATGGTTTCTAGGGGTACCCCATTTACAAACAAACCCATGTATGATTGTTGCAATAGTCTTGCGGCTTTTCTTCGCACCGACACCTGCAAGTGCCTTGATCCCAGAACCAGGCCGGCCAAGCAGCGGTTAGCATGGTTACAGCATCCGGCAGACTTCCACCAGGTGAAGAAATTGGTCACTGCGATCAAGACGAATCAAGTACTGTACCACTGTGCTTAGTCTTGGCTGGATCATTGTCAGATTCAGGTTATGAATGTAACATAGTGGGACCATGACAGTTGAGCTGTTGAACTTTGAAATCCCCAGAGCCGCCACTCTTGCCTTGAAAACACCCTCTGGCTCGAGGGGAACCTACGCAGAGTGGAGAAGCAACAACAAGCAATCCACGGAGGCAATAAACATGGGTATATGTATTCTCCACAAGATTAGATGTCAACACGAAATGGAATGCTATATGGTACAGCACCATATAATAACTGTCTAAAAATTGTAACTATTCGAAGCCAATGTGTACACTGCCGAAACCCATGGGACATCAGGGAGAGAGCAAGATATGAGCAAGTCAAAAGTGCGTGGTGTCTTTCAACGCACAGAAACTCCGTGAGACTAGCCAACTGCCCCGGGCCCCTGGCAAAAGTCATGAGGCATTTCACTGGCAAATTTCACATGGGACATGGTCATGTAGCGAGAAAAACATGACAACTATGACCTTGCTGACTGGCCAATGACCTAAAAGTGCAGTCCAGTCATGCGGGATTTTTTTTCCTTAACGCTTGAGAATTGTGATCTTACCCACTTGTCATGGTGATACACCACACCAAAATAGGGTACCCCGTTCCATCCCATGATCTAATCATCATGTCCATGAAATTGCCACTTGGGTTTATAGTTCGTGTTCACACAAAATCCGTGGTAACTATACGATATATCTACAAGTAGTTGGTTCTATTCCTATGTCTATCCCAGTATATTCCATTATGTACGTATTGAAATGGCATAGGTTATATCCTTTTATCCGTATATTCCCATCATATCCCATGATCTGCATAATGAAATGGTAGGTATTCCCATGATGTCCATATTATATACCAATGAAATTCCTGTTGAAAAATGGTTATATTCACTTATCATCATTTATCTATAGTCCAGTTTTATCCATTTCTACTGGTGTTTTATCCATTTTTGCTGGTGTTTTATCCATTTCTACTGGTGTTTTATCCATTTCTGGTAGCGCTTTCGGTCATCGACCCCGCCTCAGTCACTGCCGAGCCAATGGACGCTTGAGATCGAATGGAGCTTGACAGGCCTGGAAACTGTGGGGAATCCTGTGGAATTTCCCGGTCATATAGAGGATATCCACCAAAAAACATGGGTGGAATATGGAGACAATGGGGATGAATTGTGACTATCCAGCTATAGTACCCGGCCTGCTAAACCAACATAACTATGGAAAATCACCATGGGAAAATCCACTATTTCGACTGGGCCATGTTCAATAGCTTTTTGTATGTTTACCAGAGGGTATAGATGATGAATGCTTGATGATATAAAACAATCAACAGCTGGCGAATGGTCAATGCTCAACTGAGTTCTGCTGCTGGATTCCCTCGATGTGGAGGCGGATCCTCCATCTCCTGGCGCAGGAGTCGAACCACCGAGGGGTGGACCTTTTAAAAATTTCGCCGAAGCCACTGGCTGTGGACAATTCTGAGATGCATACGATGATCATAAAATATCCATAAATGATATAGATCATATATAGATCATATATAGATCATATAATATAGATCATATAATATAGATCATATAATATAGATCATATAATATAGATCATATAATATAGATCATCATATAATATAGATCATATATAGATCATATATCTATATATGATCTATATATATATATATGATCTATATATATCTATATATGATCTATATATGATCTATATATGATCATATATGATCTATATATGATCTATATTATATCTATATTATATAGATCATATAATATAGATCATATATAGATATATAATATATATCATATAATATAGATCATATATAGATCATATATAGATCATATATAGATCATATATATATATATATCATATATAGATCATATATATATATATAGATCATATAATAGATCATATATATAGATCATATATAGATCATATATATATATAGATCATATATAGATCATATAATATAGATCATATATAGATCATATATATATAGATCATATATATCATATATAGATCATATATAGATCATATATAGATCATATATATCATATATAGATCATATATATATAGATCATATATAGATCATATATATATATATATAGATCATATATAGATCATATATATATATAGATCATATATAGATCATATAATATAGATCATATAATATAGATCATATATAGATCATATATAGATCATATATAGATCATATAATATAGATCATATAATATAGATCATATAATATAGATCATATATAGATCATATATAGATCATATATAGATCATATATAGATCATATATATATATATAGATCATATATATATATATATAGATCATATATATGATCATATATAGATCATATATAGATCATATATAGATCATATATAGATCATATATAGATCATATATAGATCATATATAGATCATATAATATAGATCATATTCATAAATGCAGTGTGAAAAATCTGCCACTTCTGGCGCTGCCTCCGGATGCTCCGGATGGGTACGATGACGCCTCAGTCTGACGGCCCTTTTTTCCATCACCGGCTGGATCTAAAATCACCAATCAAAACGTGAAAATTTGGTGAAACACCGGTGATAACTATGGGTAAACACCAGTGAAAATGATAACTATCCCATGACGGATCCATGGTGCTGGTATTATATGCTAACATAAAGGGGCTATATTGATGGGATCCATGTTACCATATATATATATATCATACATGGATCCTATGGGTATGGGTAAACACCAGTGAAAATGGTGATAACTATGGTGAATTCATGTTTACCTAGTGAAAAGATGGGATAACAACAAAATAAATGGAGATAACTACTAGCTGAAGTATGGTGATAAATTTACCCGTAGTTACTCAAAACGTGAAAATTTGCTGATAACTATGGGTCAACAATGGTAAACAATGGTAAACTATAGTAAATCACCAATAACTCATGGGGGATGACGGGATGACACAACTCATGTTTACTGCAAAAATTCATTGGGGTAAACATGGAAAATATAGTTGGCTAGTGACCTTTTGTGCAATCCTCAAGACTGTCGCTTTTTTTGCGAGGCAGTGTTGGGGATTGGATGTTTAAGCATATCTTCGCCTCTACTTCAACATGAGTCATGGGTCATAAGAAAAGAAGCAAAATGAAAAGGTGGTTTCAGTGCTTCTTCCCGTCCAGCCGCCTAGCCCTTTCTGACCCGTTTCACCACCTCGGGCCATACAGCATCTCAACTCTGAAGTTTCTCATATATTCAAATCCAAATTAAATAACAAGAGACGCCCCTCCAAGAATCTGACATGGCAATGGTAAATCTTCCAAGTGAACTGTGACCAAAATAATGGTGATATGTCATGATCATCTCCAAATTTGGCATTTCAACTTTGCGTTGCCGGCTTAGATTGCCGAAAGCTACACGGAGGTTTCCTAAGTCATGGGATGTCATGGGGTACCCCCCCAAATCATCAAGTCATGAGACCATTCATTACTTCGTATTGAAACCCATGGTGACTGGGGATCCCCCCAGCAGTAATTCAGGCCATCCTCTCTGAAAGGATCCATCAGCAGCCAAGCAGCCGTCGCAGCCGCCAGCCGATGGATGTCCGTGACATTCCTCGAGTTACCGTTTTCGGGGATATAACTGCAGGGGAATGTTGATGAACAGGGTTTTCATGCGCTTATATTCATGATTCTAGATAGCTTCCTAAAATTGCAAGGATCTCAAGTGTTCAGACCCTTTCTCACACCAACAGATGGGAAACTCCTCCTTTGCCAGCAAAGGTTGGGTGACCCATACCCAAACAAAAGGAGGATATTTGGGAAACAGTCAATTGCATCCTCCATGTCTTGCCCTTTGTCCTTCTTCAATATCAATGATTGGTTAACTAAAATTATACCCTTGTCTCACTATCTAAAGCTTATGCGCTGGTATCCATACCAATATAGCCAATGTTGATGGTTCAACTTTATACATACGCTGGGTAAATTACAATATTTCACCATCCTGAAACGTTCCGCTGTTTGGGGATAATTACCCTGAATTTCCCAATCCTTTCAGTGACGTGACCCGTCGCCGAGGTACAACTCCTGGCGCTTCCGCGCCTTCCGCGTCTGCCGAGACAACAACCTGTGGCGGCGGACGACCGACGATGGCTGGGCCCAGGGCCCATGCCCATCGTCATTTCTGGCCATCGATACTTCGTAAATATTCACCGCATAGTACCCAGTATTGGATGAAACATTGCATTTTGTGGTGATTCCTGATTAGAGAATGATCCCAGGTTTTGTTATAGATTTTCGCGTTGGTTATCTCTGAACTCCGGCATTCGAACGGAGCCCCTCAGATCTCGGCCCCCTCACCGCCCACCGCGGGAACTGCTTCCCGCCAGCAGACGTAGCTCCTGACTGTGATTGCAGCGCGGTTCATCACCCAGAAGTTGATGGATAGTGTATGGTGATAAGTGATAATAGTGATATTTGTTCATCAGTTTATGGATATCCATATGAACCATAAAATCAGATAAAATCAGTTTTACATGACTATGGATGAACTATAACTTCAATGAAAGGTTATGGCATAATATGGATCTTGGTGGAATTCACAATTAGTTCATTGGGATGAACCTGATTTTTTGGCCAGGAGTTGATTGGGGGATCCAGGGCCCCTTTTGACAAATAGTTGGGAGATGTAATGGAGTAACTTGTTTCTAAGTGAGTTTTCCCTTGCCTTTCCCCGGCGGCGTTTTTTTAGCAACATACAGTGCCCAGTGCGCAGCATGTGTTCAAAAAAAAGCATCCAGCGCAAAAAAATGACAATCCACGAGGCTGGTGATGATCCGCCGGGGCTGGCCTTGGGGATGGCTACTTTTTGGGTCAAAAACCCATCCCCATTTGGCCCCCAAAAAATCGGCGTCACTCGGCGCAGGGCCTCGTATCTGAGGTAGGCATCCTTCAGGACCTCCGAGTCCTTCATGAAGTCCAACTCGCTGGGGTGAAACCTCGGCGAAGTCATCGGTCTAAAACAACGGGATGGTGAACTACCCAATTTATGTTTGAAGCTTGGAGAAATGATAATGAACCAATATTAACAAAAAGACATTTGGAATCATTTGGATGGGTTTCACATGGTTTCACCTAATTTTTCAAACCCATGTCATGTACCAAACTTCTAACTCCAGCCACTGAACAGCATGCCGTCTCTCTTGGATGAATTCCCCCATTCCAGGCCCTTAAAACCCCCATGGAAAAATCCTCATTTTGGTGGGTGAAAAATCCACAAAAATCCACATCTCTGTTGGTTAGTGCTTAAAAATCGACCTTTCTGTTGCTTAGAGTCGGTTAGAGTCGGTTAGAGTCTCCCTTTTTTGATGACGAAATTCACCTGTTCCATGAAATCACCTTGCTGGTGAAGTGCTGCCACCTGTTGGGAAACCCCACGAATAGCTGGCCAGGAATTCGTCCTAGGAAGGCGGACACCTGGAAAAACTGGTCTTATCTCTTTTGGAAGTACAAGTATGTATGTATATATGTTCGTATTATGTATGTTAAGTACACCCGGACGTGAAAGTCAGTGCATATGTGGAACCAAGGTAAAAACTGCATGGGACGCCGCGCATTCAGGAAGTCAAACAAGTCAATGCAACCAGGTCTAAAACTGCATGGGACGCACTATGTAGAAGTGTTACTTTTAGATCCCTGGCAGTGCACTTTTCTATTGGCAAATTTTCCAAATCCCCATCAGGACGCGTGTGCACAGTTATGTCCCATAATCTTAAAAATATATGCTAAAATTTCTAAATCCCCATCAGGACGCGTGTGCACAGTTATGTCCCACAATCTTAAAAATATATATCCACGGATGTTAAACACCATGTGGACGCTTATCCAAACATGCACATTGATACCTACGCCATTTACTAGAACTTGCGCCAGCCGTATGGCACACCGCTTACGCCAGACATCACTAATCTTCCGCCAGGTGGAAATCCTATTGGCACACCGACGGTCAAAGTGGGCTAATTCTGAGGCAGGCAAAAGCTTCCAGCCCTTTCACAAATCTCTTGCTTCTCTGCCCAAAAACCGCGCCTTGCCCAGAAGCAGCAACACAAGCAACAACAACAGCAGCAGCAGCAGCAGACCAAGCAGCAGACCATTGCAAAGCCTTTCCAAAACCTCTCCGGGTTGGGTTTTGACTGGCTGCAATTTTAACGAGGTCCGAACGAGGTGCAAACGAGGTGCAAACGAGGTCCAAACGAGGTCCGAAATCAGATTTTGGGAGACTGGCCCCCTAAGTCTCCTGACAAACTCTTTGGTAGCCACACGCTTTCGCATTCTTTTCAGAACAGTTAGACTCAAGAGCTTTCAGCGGTGGAGCAGAAGAGGAAACCAAGCCAAGCAGCAGCTGCAGGCAAGAGCAAGGAGAGAGAAGAGGAGACAAAGGGCGAGTAAGGGAGACAGAGGGGAGACAGAGGGGAGACAAAGGGACGCAAGCTTGGCAAACAAGTATACAATTGCCACGACTTTCATCTTTGGGAGTATAGTGGGTAAACCCAAAAAGATATGACAGGTAAGCGTCGTGTGCCTATGCGAAGTGCCAAAAATACATCAGTAAGTTAAAGTGATAGGCGCTGCCCATGCGGGCCATTCCCCATAGGCACTTGTTATAACATCGACCCAGTATTCGTCGGTGTTTGTATGAATCTTGCACAACAGAGCGAGCCACAAGTGATGTACAAAACTCCCAAAACACAAGGGAATAGCCACAACCATCTGCATGGTATCCATGAAAAACTCACGATAAACCATCAATTGGAGAAAACACAAACATGCTAAACACCAACTGGACGCAACATCGCACCGACTTCCAGAAATTTCTCCCCCACCTAGGACGCACATTTCATTGAAACGCATTGACTTCCACAACTAGGAGTACGTCTGTATGTGTGTGTGTATATATCTGTGTATAATGATCTATGTTATATTGTATTTCTGTCAAAATGATCCGTCATATCCTGTGCAAATACGTACGTGTATGTACTATGCGATGTACCTAATGAGGATACTAATTATAGATATGAGCAATAATTTCAAAACGCTCTATTGGTTGGTTAAGAACGGGAATCCCAGTTCATGAATGATAATCCCCAGTATACAAAGGGTAGTATGACACCCAACTAATCATACCAACCAACCGGGGTGGATTGCAGCCACTGCTCATAGGTGTCCTCGTATTGTTCAGCTAAACGTAGCCCTTCCTCCACTGCAGCAGGATAGCCACCTGCGATGAACCGATGACTGCAGCTCTTGCTCTCTGAGTGTTCATGAGTGTGCAGTCAACTGCAACAATGCCAATGCGGATCTTTTAGACAAGCAACATATGGATCAACTACAACAATAATCTAAAATCATCTAAAATCTACAAGTACTGCATTTGTTGTGTGATCACATGTGGGTTATTTCAATTCTTCGCAGCTGAGCTCGAGCACTGCCACTGTACTTGGCCCGAATCTGCCTAAGGCGCCAAGGCGCCATTGGGAATCCACTGTGATCTTGGGAGATTCTGCGGGATTCCCATAGGAACCAAGAAGTTGGTCTTTAGGGTTTACCGTTGGGGTGGTCATTTTAGGGATCAGAAATTGGCTGTATTTGGGGGTTATATACACCGAAATTGGCGAGGCCAAGCCCCACAGGTGGATCGACCCCCATTGCTTCCAGTGCTTGTGTCGTCACGATTCTTGGAATCCATGTCAGGAAGAACTTCAGAACGAAATGAATTGCAAGATCGCATGAAATGGATTGAAATGGTTAAGGATGGTTGTAATTTGTGTATATCTTTGTTCCAAATCCTTGCTGTCCACCGTTCTTGTTTATTCACTCCTGCCCACATAGTCTCGCGACTTCGAACAAAATCAGCATCATCGGATTGGTCGGAAAATCCCCATGGGAAACTCCCAAGATTTTCCTGCAGAATCCTCTCCCCAGATCTCCCCTCCGGTGGAAGTTTTCCAAGCCTCTGATGGGAGTGGAGAGATGTGAAGGCTTGGAAATCCATCACCCTGGGGCCTTGTTGGCGCTGCTTGTTGGCCAACAAGATCCAGTAAATTGAGGGCAGGACAGGGCAAAATGGATCCCTGAAGTACTGAGTGGATGTTGGTCTACCCTCTTTTCACATGGCTCTGGATTGTCCATTTAAAGATCATTAAAGTACTGAAAGAGGACTCTGTTGGCTACAAGTGAGTCCCAGCTGATGCAGCACCTACAGTACCTTCGTTGCTGGGAGACAAGGTCTCCAAAAGGCTGGCTTTCGAAGCTCTTCAATGTCTCGCAAAGAGGCTTGAACAATCTGTAACTTGGCCCCAATTGCAAGGCAGTATATCCAATATATCCATGAAAGCAATTGAAAATAGATCATGATTGTGAATAACTTAAGGCCCTTCCCATGTCACCATGTCACCAGGAGCTTTCAGTCGAGTTCCCAAACGTTGGAAGGAAATGGTGTCGCCTCAGGAACATTTTGGTGGACCTTCAAGGGTTCAAGCATGTCGTAGCCATCAATGATCGGGGGTAACGTTTCAGCCTGATTCCCAAAAGAATGGTGAAGCTGAGTTCCCGTGATTGGACTGTCATCCCAAGTCCAACATGAACCCATCAACCAAGATATTTGCAAGAGGTCACCTGGGAGGTTTGGATCTGCAAAAGAAATGGTGGCCCAAAGTGATTATCTTGGGATGCCTTCAGTCCAGAGGGTGTTGCAACACCGAAACTCCAACTTGGTAAACATCGCAGGAAGGCAAAATGCCCGATGCCGGTCATGGGTGACCTTCTTTTATGTATCGTCATTCACCCCAGAATCGGGCCTTTTTTCCTTTTTCATTTGGGTGTGTCCGAACTTGGGGTGTCCTTCCCCATTGCCAACCCCAAAAGATAAGAACCCACCTGTGCTGTTGATCATTTGGGGGATTACCATTTTAGTCCTTTTTAGTAGCAAATTAGCACCTTCTGAAATTCCTCAAAATGTTCATTTGCTACTAAAACGACTAAAATGGTAATCATCCAATGGTCAACAGATTACCCTCCAGCAATCAAACATGGCCATTGGGACATCTCCCATCTATTTATATATATATATATATAGATATTTGTCCCATTAAATCCTCAAGGTTCCCATTGAATCCTCAATTTTGGATGCGGGATTTTTCAGCCAACCATGTTTGATTTGGATCTTCCATGGAAACATCGTACCTCCCGCAGCTCCACGGCCTGGTCTGGGCTCCAAGAGGGGGTAGAGCACCTGCGATGACGGAGTGATTTCATTGGAATGCATGGTGTATCATGGTGCAATTACCACAGGAATATCATGGAATATCATGGAATATCATGGAATAACATGGAAGATTCTGGGTAGTAACATGTACAACATGTAGTAACCAAGAAATGTGGTCACTGCCACAGGAATATAATTTTCGAGAAACGGCCTGACAATGCCTCGCAACGCAGGGGAAGGATCTGGACGCTGGTAGCCCTGAGTCCTTTGCACTAGCACCGCATTGCAATTTCCTTCCAATCATGGGCCCGGCCTACGTATTATACTTGTCAATAGGGTCAGTAGATCTGGGCAGGTCTGGTCATACCCTTTGGTAAACAAACAAAATTATGGACAATCACCATTTTCAGTATGTAACTCAACTATCAATGGGCCATTTTCAATAGCTATGTTAGTTTACCAGAGGGTAACCCTTTGAATAGCTTGGCCAAATATGGCACACTTGGCAAAGAAAAGCCGCCATGTTTGCCCGTAGCTGAGCCCAGCAAGGACGCCTTGTCAGGGATCACCAGCAACCGCTGCAAGAGCCGCAGAAAGAGAAGAATGACCTACACATCCCAAGGGAAACCAGGAGCTTCTTCCAAGAATGGGCGGGGTTCTAAATTGAAGCCAGGAGCATGATTTGTTTTTTCTCTGTTCAAGCTTGTCAAGATCTCAACTTTAGAGTTAGACTGAGAAGCCTCTGTTTCTCAGTACAGCATAGGAATTCTGGTCGTCTTACCGCCCAGTGCCGGCCTTTTTGATGGGCAAAATCCTGTCGGTGTCCAAGCAATTCATGGCTGCCTGGCCATCACCACGCGGTGCAAAACTGGACATCTTTACTGCCCTCTCAAGATTTTGTTCAGCTAGTTGTCTGTGCACTTCTGGATATGTGTAATATTCTATAATCATACAAAATTGATCATATAATCACAAGAAGAAGAACCATAACCATAACAATAATAATTTAGTAGCTTGAAAAAATTGCTCCCTGGGAGCATCACCATCCCAGTTTTCCATATTTTTCATCTCCAAGTCCAAGGCCATGGCACCACACTGTCCCAAACTCTGCCGGCCGCGCTTCGAAGAGCAAGCTGCACAGAGATGCTCCCATTCGACCGCAGCCTGGCCGCTTTTGCCCCGATAACCGTTGATGCTCCACTTTCAAATGAAAGAAAACATAGGTGTGGATGCTGTTTACATTGTTTTGGATGCTTTTTACTGGGATAAGTTGTAAACTTATAAATATCATCAAACATATATATATATATAATAATCATTAATAATCTACAGACACTTACTTGTCGTCCTCGAACATTCGCCAAGGCCAAGCATGTTCCACCCTCCAACCTTGCTCTAGAAACTTGACCAACTCCCGGTCATCTTCCTGGATGCGGAAAAAAGAATGAAAAAACTGAGATTCGACCACCTGGCATGAGTGATTCATAGGAACTGAGCAGGGAAGACAATCTAAAAATATCTAAAATATCTTCAGCTCTTGGATCACTTCAGAGTTCCAGAACGCGGTGAATCCAGTGAATCCAGTCTCTTCAACGTCAACGCCGGGGCCAGGGCAGTGAAGAGAAGCTGCAGATAGATGATGTTCAAAATCAAGCGGAACTCCCGCTCGTAGATTCCATCCTGCCCAAGGGATCCAAGGGATCCAAAGGGCCCAAGCTCTTCACACCAAGCTGGTCAGGCTGGTCGACATGTGCAAACAGCAGAACCTCCTTGCGCAGATCCTCTGTTCCCAGGAGGTTATCCAAAGCTCTGACCTGAGAAAATCCAGCTTTAGCTCGGCCAGCTTGAGACGCCCAAATCTGCGAGAAATCCATCACAAAAAGATGGAAAGATATGGAAAGAAAGAAAATGATGGGGTCTCCCTTTTTGAAGTTCGTTACCATGGCCATTCCAGGGGTGTCTGAAAGGCTACAATACCCCACGTGTTCATAGGGTTTTTTAGGGTTGCTCCAAGCCACGATACATGATCACAAGGGGGAGAAATTGCTCAAGTCACATCTTTCTCTATCCCGGTTTTACCCCTGGGTTTTTTGGGGAGTAATTTTGTTTCTCATCATGATTTTTCCCATTGATTCTTCGGAACAGCCATAAATTTGCCAGCCATGAATATCATAAATTGGCATATTCTCCATCATCTCCATCTTGATCCATTTTTGAGACACCCATCGCCAACATGTGTGGGTCTCCCCACCAACACCGGCATGGCTTCGTGCTTGGCCTCGGACATTGAGACATTGAATGGCTGGTAACACCGGGTGGTATCACAAAATGAGTCTCTAAGCAAAAATATGGCGAGAACAAACTTTCACGCACAATCATTGCGTCTAGTATGAACTCCTGTATCCAGCCAACAATCATCGGGATTGAGGAAGGGCGCGCCCAGTTTTGACAACTCATTTGGTTTGTGGTAAACCAAGCCACCGGAAAAGATGTTCTTTCCTTAAGAAGTACCCATTCAGATGGTTAAAGGAATCATCGGATTTAAAATCATGACGAGTGCACAGTTATATCGTATGTGTATCGTTACATGTCTATATGTAATTATACATATATATATATATATATGATATATACACGTGTGTATATATATATATTAAAATGAAAAAGCGTGTCCACTGCATCATCGAAATGTCTGTACAGAATCCCTCATGAAGAGGTCTGGTCCGCCCTCACATTTTGCTGCGTGCGCGCGTGCCATTTCGTTTGGAAGCTTATATTCAGATGTTGTGACAGGCAAAGAGCACCACGCATCGGAAGAGAACAATGACCTCTGGCTTTCGCTTATGCTCAAAGAAACCACATTCTCGGGTCCCAAAACATTTGGATTTGATTTGCCGGAAGAGCCTGAAGCGTGCTAAAGGTTGCACAGATCAGCTTTCATGCCTTGCAGCTAACCTTTGATTTGATGCACTTGGCCAGTGAGAAATATGTCGCAGAAGCGGCGCGCTGTTGTATGCTGGGCAAGTTCTGTCCATGTGTCTGTTTAAAAAATGCCTTGCATCAGTTTAAGGGCCATGGACCTGGAGACCGTTTTCCTAAAATCACCCCAATTATATATTTAGGGGGTGGGATTCTCTGAAAATGTTGGAGAAAAAAGACTGAAATCCCGTGGTGTATCATAATTTATAATTCTATCATTGTTAAAACAGAATTTTGGAGGGTATTATTCCCCCTGTTCAGACAGTCCCGTGGATTTTCAGGCTGGTGGAGCTCATTCTATTCATCCTCCATAGGTATCATATGGTATCATGGTACTGACCCATCCTTGAGAATCTCTCCATGACATTGTGCTTATCCCTAGTTCTGTTGGTTTTCTGACATGTTATCTTCCCATGTTTGCTGGTTATACCCCTAGTTTTTGCGAGTTTAATGTCTGGATTCTTTGGAAGAATGCCATCGGTGCAACAGCGCAGGCACAATGCCACTCTCACTGTGGCCCTCAGCCCATTTCGCGTCCTTCAGAAACTGGTCGTGGGTCGGAGGAAATCCCCACCATTCACATGGAAAATCATGGTGGATATTCCATGGCCCGCAGCAGCGATTTCCACCCATGGATTTCAGCTATTTTGGTTTACTGGTATCCAGTATCCACCCGAAATTTGATACGGAATCCGAAAGAAAGAACCCCAAAAAAAATTGTGGTAAATCGATCGTGAGGATTTCATGACTATTTAAGTTGCATCTGGACTAGAAGGGCACAATGATAAGAATGACCAGCGTCTGTGCAACTCTAAGTTCCGTTGAGTTTCATGCTCTTAAAAACTAAATCAACAAACGCTAAGTCTTGATATGTCTTCATCAAAGAAAACGGTAAAACATGATTTCCACTGAGTCGAAACTGGATCCCGGTGACCTCTGGTATGATCGATGCTCAAACCTCAGTGGCAGATAGGAATGTCAACGGGATTGATGAATCCTGACTGTTGAATTGGCACCCCCAACTGACTGTGATAAGATGTGATGAATTACTACTCAACTTGGTACCCCCTCAACAAACCTAGAGGATTATGAATCCTGGGTTGACGTTATCGACAACCAGCGCAACCAGTTGATTCCATAGCCCATCTTGGCCGAGCAGCGTAGTACTTGGCATTCCTCTTGTCACTGGTTTTTTTCGTTGTCATGTACCAGTCGAGATGCTTCATCTTGCGCCTCAGATATTGGCATATGTCAGCCTTCCCGATCCTAAGTTTTGCTACACTACAAGATATTATGATAATATTCGGCCCTGAAATTCCTGAGATGAGGATATCATATGGTATCATCGGATATGTATGGATATGTATGGATATGTATCCTTCAAAAAGACAGCCTCTGGCTATGTTTCAAGCATATTCAAACAGCGGAGCAGTTCAGTCGCGGTACCAAAATGTACCAAACTTTGCACAACTCGAATGATGCCAGGCTGCATGATCTCTTAATTATCTTAGCAAATCCATGGGGTATCTCCTC